ATATCTCTGATGGAAAGGGTGAAAGACGCGACCCCGTCATCCTTTGATGAAAATAATGGCAGCAAAATTTAGTTCAGCAAAAAAAAAATTAAAATTTATTGTAAAGTGAGATTGAATTTGAAAGATGTTCGTGGATTAGTAAAGAGCTGTGAGCTTTGCCTTGCTAATTTTTAATCCACACGAACATTCCATTTAGATATAAATTACGATTAGCTGCTTGATTTGGTGGAATACGCGGAATTACAAGCCACGCTTGTTAATGTTCGACACCCGAGGCCATCTCGTGAAGCGTGTAAAATATTTAATGCATTGCACGGTCCCGGTGTGTTTGTTCGTTGCTGCACGGTAGTTAAATATTGCTTTGTATTTTCCCTATTTTCCGTCCGCCACTCGCTGCGCCGTAATGGATAATTTTAATAAACCCGCCTCGGAACAAGTGTACGGAACACGCAGATAAGCAGATTAGCCGCCACCGCCAGCCAGCGAGGAAAAATGCGGCTGCAAATGGAAAATCAAAATAAATTATCTGGCGTGCCACCACTTTCGGCGCGCGCCCGAGAGAAAAAGGGCTTATCGGTGGCACTTTGTATTTCTGGCAAGCAGAGGGAAATATATATATTTTACATTATGGAGGGCAACACGACGAAACACGCATTTAATGGGTCTGTTTTGAGAGGCTATTTATGGAGGAAACTTTGGTGACCGTATATTAGATAAATAGCATGCTAATTGTTTTTCATAATGGGGGTCATTTATCATATTTAATGAAAATTTGAGCTCGGAGTTGATTTGTTTTGATTTCAAAGCAATTTTCAAATGAAATTATTTTGCATTATTAAACGTAAAAGTTTTGGAAGATGTAATTGCGTTTTTTTTTTAACATGCGATTCATTGAAATTACTAGAAATATACTGTAAACAGTAATAAGTTTATTTGAGCAACAATTTTAATGGAGACACAAATTGGTGTAAGAAAATTAAATTTTAAATTGAAATGAAAAAACCTCAAAATTCATTAAATAAATTGAAAAAAATGCAGCTAAAAATTTATTTAAAATTGAAAATTTCTTCAAGAACATAAAAATTAATAATTAGATTTGAGGAATTCTTGGTTTTTTAATCTAAAGAACCATAGACGATGCTATTAAAATTAAAATTATCAAACAGGTTAAAAGATTAATTTGAAAAGTCTAACAGGTAGAAAAATAACAGGAAGGAGAAGAACGTGCGTTTTCCATTGTGTGTCCAAAACTTGGAAATTAGTCGGAAAGTTTAGTTTCCACTCGGGGTCACGTGCGCCCGGCAAAAAGCAAAAGCTAGTTTTCCCCAACCGAAAGTCTTAATCATTTTACTGCGAGCCGGCGGCTCCTCTGCCGTGCTTGCCGGTCTATATCTAATTCGGCTGCGCCTGCTGGCAGCAAAAAGTTAAGAAAGCAATTGTCGGCGAGGCATCAAGAGAAATGGAGCATAAATTTAATCCAACGCCGGCTGACGCAATTACTCCAATTATACGTCCCGCAAAAAGTTTCATTCTTGTTTGCTGTGGCGTGTGTGTTTTCCCCTCACGGTGTTTATCGGCGCGCGCGTTTCTTATAACTCGGAGAAGAAGGATTCAATTATTTCATTAAACGTCCCCGAGGGACTCGCTGGCAAAAATGGAGCGCCAACAAAAGCAACTCTATGTTTCCAGAAGGAAAGTTTGTGTATTTTTTGCTCCCTCTCCTTGGGTGTTTTTTTTCCTTTTTTTTTCTGTGTTGTCATCTTTCTGTGTGACGCTCGCAGGCGCTCTCTTATATTCTTTTGTTTAAGTGGCAAACTTGTGTAATTTTAACAAAAAACCAGCCGAGAAAAGAATAAACACAAAGGAAAAGCGTGCGTGCAAGACGGGAAAAAATACTCGGATTTTTTTCATTAACTTTGGCGCAATTCTCATCAAGGAGAGATGCGTGCAGATTGTGCCCCAAAAGTGCCGTAGAAAAAGCAGAAATTTTAATTAAGAAGGTCGCTACTTTTAATTTAAGAGGCCGTAGAAAAGTTTGCTCGCCGCGCGGAATTTTGATGAACTCTTGCTTGCTTTGGGCGGGCATGAAAAATTTACTGCTGGAAATGAAATTATTTTATTTAGCAGCTTACCTTTGCCGCCAGAGCGAGGAGATAAAATCTGCATTTAAAGTGAAATTAAATTTGCATTTTTCGAGTTGATCTCATATTTGAAAAACGGAAAGAGAAATTTATCAAATTTATCATTGGTGCAGGTTGGGAAAAAAACAAGGCCGTAAAAGTGAAATAGGGCGATTTTGCTCGATAACTATAATTTTACTGCCGCAGGTGAAGAGCATCAGGCGCTCTCCAGTTTTATGTGTTTTTGCGCAGGTGCTTAAGTGCAGAACATTTCACTTGGCAAAAGAGCTGAATTATCATTTTCAAGTATTTTATCTTATTAAGATAATTGAAGAAGAAAAACTATAAAGAAGGTCATAAATCAATCAAAATTTGGTTCATTTTTCTTTTGCCATTGTTCCTTTTCTTGGAAGAAAGCATAAAAATACATACCAATGCCATTTTCCAGCTGCTTTACGATGCGAAAACGTCGGAATGCGCGACGTCGGCAGAGGAATTTTTCAAGAGGCTTCTTCCAGCAAATGGATGATTAAAGCGTAATTTTTTTGGTAATTTTCATAGAAAAGACCCTCTTTTTACTGCCGACGCTGAAAAATTCATAAAAGGCTTCTTGTGCAGGCTCTTCTTCGTCTCATTTCTGCGCTACTCTCGAGGGCCATTATATCGCCGGCTAGCATTTAATAAGGGCACACATTCGCTCGCTTTCGCGCAGACACAAAAAGATATCGCGCGCCCCCGGGATAAAAAGGTCGTAACCTTTGCGGGCCGAGCGCGGGACCTTTGGCTGAGCGCGCAATAAAAAACATCGTAAAAGGCCCGCACGGAATTACATTGTGTGCGGCCCTATGCAATTTTCATTACGTCCCCCCGCGATGAATACATTTTATGTATTACGGTACGTGTATTTAATCAGCCCGCAAAAAAGCATATTTGAAAGAGTAATTATTTTTAATGCGAGCGCTCCTTAAAGCGGGGGAGTCGACTGAGCTCCAGATTACGCCGCCGTAATGAGCAAAAACTTACCCCCTCCGGTACTCACGCTCTCCTGCTGCTCGACCAGATTTTCCACCCGCCTTAAGAACCCCGAAACATCCGAGCAGATGAGCAGCGGCCGTGAGAGAAGGAAAAGCAGCGCCGGCAGTAAAAGCAGAGAAATTCGGGAGGCATTTGTACGTGCGGTTGTAAAATTGCGCTTTAATGCTAACAACAATTTGGCTCTTCAAGCTTAATTTACTACCCACCATGTTTGAATTCGAAATTTCTACAAAAACTTTTTATTTTATAAAAATTCGATCAATCATTGGTATTTATTGTTTTTTTTTTTTTTTTGCTTATGTCTTTAATTGATGCAAATAATATATGAAAAAATTATTGAGAAAATCAATATTGAACTGCAGATGAATAGAGGGTATTTGAGGGAAAAATCAAATGAAATTTTCATCTGGAGTTAGTCACCGTGGTATGTTTAATTAAATTAATTGGCGTATTAATTGAAATTAAATATTAATCTATTTATTGAAAATTTAACTACAGAAACTAATTTTTTATATTTTTAATTAAAATATTAGATGAAAATAGAATCAAATATTAAAAAGGGTGAGAGTGTGAGGAAGGGTTGAATAATTTGCTAGAACATCGTCAGACAGTCAAGAGATGGTTATAAAGTTATAATATAAAGAAATGGCACGAAAGTTTTGATCGTTGATTTTATGATGCCATTATACCAAAATTTTAACTCGTGTCTCTAATAATAATTTTCTATTTGTCATCTCCCTCGTACATAGAACTCTCTACAGTCCTAAATATTAATGGATTTTGGATAAAAAAAAAAAAAAAAAAAAAAAAACTATGAATTCTACCTTTACAAGTAATTGAGTGGAGAACTTTTCCCATGTAACCAAATTTAAAAAAATTAGTTTAAGCTATTATGTCTCTGCCATAATTAAAATTTAATTGCAAATTACCACGTTTTTTCCATTTTGATCTATAAATAATGGACTAAATGGCTTCTCCTTGCAAATTTTCCACTCGGTTACGGAGTTTTTTTTCCAGCTAATTGCCGATCTGCAGCTTGAGCGAAAAGCAATCAGCGCCCAAATTGAGCCGCAAAAAACGTGATTGCGCGCCATTTTTCTCATCAACGCGCTCACGGGGCAATTCGCTGGTGGTGTGTCTCGTCTCTATATCGGCGCGGTTGCAATCAATTTTTAATTAGCCGACAGGAAATGTGCGCGTGCTCGGAGGCGTCAAAGTCAAAAAACAGCCAACCATGGCATATTGTGTGTACTTTTTCCAGCGGAATTTTCATCTCCGACGGCGAATTGACGTTGTTTGGCTTTTTCCTGCTGATTATTAATTCGCAATTTCGCTTCCATATCCCTGGTCGCGGTCCCTCGCGGCTTTGTGAATAATTCGCCTATGTACTCATCAGATTTTTTTTTTACAATCGGCACAGGCTTAAATCGCATACTAAATGTAAGTTGGAAAGTTTACAAAATTAAACGTATTGTGCACAAACATTTGAGCTGAATATAATTTATGCGATTCAGAGTTGTGCGATTTTCCACTGCCCCATCCAATTGGCAGTTGGGGATTGAGATTTGCCAACATGAATTGTGATTACCTATTACTATGAATGAAAATTGATTGCGTTAAAATTAGTCAGGTGAAATGTCTCTTTTAAAAAATTAGGTTTAAATTTCATTGATGAAATATCCGATGTTGATTATTTTAATGAGAGAGACACACTTATTAAAAAGATCACGTGAAAATCTTTACAGGAGAAGAATTATACATTATGTATTAATAAATCTAACAAGTAGCATTAGACAAACTTTATTCATTTTTATGACATGTTCACTAAAATGTTACAATCAGTACTTTTCACATTTTTCACATCCACAATCACCTTTTTCATTTTTGTGATATTTGTAATTTTTGCAGAATAGGAAGTGGAATGATAATTTTAATAAATTATTTTGTTTTAATTAAATGTCTAAATGTGGTGATTTAAAAGATGCAATCAGCTCAAATCTTGTAGTTGAAATAAAATAAAATCAAGAATTGAAATTTTAATCTTACAATGATAAACAATAATTATTTCCTATTTTTAATTTTAATTTTTCTGTCGTTCAAAATTTTAATTCCGGTCTGTTGAGAAATCCATCCCAAAAAGCTAGTCACCCTTGTGCACGTTGAGAGATAGTTGACGCAAATATCAGGTCCCGCAGACACAATTCCAATCGCAGTGAATTTTCCGTCCTTTTCCAGAATTTTCAAAGTGTTTCCACTGTCGCCCTATAATTTAATTAAAAAAAAAAATAAACAAAGGCAATCAACCTTTGGAATAAAATCTCACAAAGCAAGCAGATTTTGCAATGTCCGGTGCGATGCAAATGGTCGAGCTGATTACATATTTATCGCCAAAAAGTTTGACACAATCGATATTTTTCATCGTCTTTAAGACCGCATACATCAAGTATCTACTGGGGCTTCCCCCTGTAAGGAAATATTTAGCATTTGAATTTTTCATTTTAATTGTATTTGCCATCAGCAGTTAGTCCGTAGCCAGCAACATAAGCATCTTTGTCGGCTAATGTAGCATTGCCGTAAGAATATGGTGGCAGGCGAATTACGTTCACATATTGACCTAGAAAATATCAGGTCAGTTTTAAAGAGGAGTACAAAATAAATCAAAATTTTACTCAATTTGAAGGATACCGCTATTAGGGCTATGTCATTTGTATACAAAGTCTTGTTATAGTCTTTGTGGACGATAGCCTTTGTTGACGTGTACGATTTTTCGCCAGTTTCATTATTTCTGCTGCGATCAATTCCACCAACATTAACAGAAAACGTGTAACCACTAAAGCGAAATTAAATTATGGCTCAGCTTTTTCAATCAATCATGTCCTCACCCATCCACGCAATGGGCTGCAGTCATACCCCAATCACTGGAGATCAGTGAACCTCCGCAAAGCCAAGCGTTGTCGACAATCAAGAAAAATACCCACGGGAACATTTTCTGCCCTGCCTTGGTACCACCAGTGATCATCCTGGTTACATTTTGGAAAGAAACTCCCGCTCTCTCTTAAAAGGCTTGCAAAATCAATATTTAATTATTCCATAATGATATAAACGCACTTGTTTGGAGTTTTCGTGCTCCTTTGTTGACATAATCGATTTTGGGCTGGGAATGGGAAACGTCTTCATCTACCTCCACGTCTCGAATTTTAATTAAGTTTCTTTTAGGTTGAAGGTTAGCAATCCTATCACCGCTGCCCTAGGAAGAAAAATTTTAAACTAAATATTAAAAGAATTAATATTAAATCATGATTTTTCTCACGAAAATTGCAGAAAGCGTCAAGACGACAACGAGTTTCACTGGCGTCCTCATTTTGACCAAGCTACTAATAATTCAGAGCATTGCACTTTGTTTGATTTCATTATCAGAACTGAAAAGAAAACAAAATATTCATAAACCTTGGAATTTGCTACAAACTCGCAAAGAGAAGAAAACAAAATTATGTAGAGCGTGTCAAAATTTAATCTGTCCTCAGTGTTTCACTTTCTGAGCATAACAATTTAAAATTTTGTAAATCATCAATTTTAAAACATATAAAACATGATACAAAAGAAAGAAAATTAAATTATTAAGAAATTTAAAAAAAAAAAAAAAAAATTATTTATAACATTAAATTTAATGGCTTCCAACGCTGATTGTGATTGAGTGTTTTGGTTCAGAACTTCTTAAAATACCTGATAATTGATTGCAAAGTCAATATTAATTTGCAAGTTTCCATTCCACGGATCGGAATAAGTTTTGCAAAAGCTTTCTCGGCGCAAATCGGCTTATGCTGGAACTGCTTCGAGAGAAGCGAAAAGTCATCGGAGAGATTCGCGTTTTGCATATTATATACCTGCACGCGGACGGGCTGGTGGAAAAGTGCAGCGGCAACTTGTTGGAAGCTCCGTACTTTTAATTAAAGCCGGGGTCGCGCGACGAAAGTGGGGCGTTCGCCGTAATGCAGTTAGGGGAGGAAAGAAGAAAAGTATGGAGCCAACTTTTGACGCGGCCAGGATGTAATAACACGGCGTTGAGTGGCAGCTCGAGCTGGTTCTTCTTACATCGCATAACGGCGGAAATTTATCGATCAGGGCGCGAAAAAGCAGCGATGGACGGACGCCCTGCAATATGTGTGAGCGCCTTTTATTTTGACAAGCGCCCTCCAGGAGAAAGAAACATTTTTAAGAGCGCGCGTGTTATTTTTATGAGCGACGTTGAATGAGAGAGTTGATCTAATCAAGAAAAATGTTGCGCATCTCTTCTTCAAAGAGTGGAAAACACAATTTTTTGAGCAGATAAATCTGAAAAGAAAGGTTAATACTACTCAATAATGCATATATATGTATATCAATTTAACAATACAAAGTTAAATAAAAATTAACTTGTGTGCTTTTGATTATTTTTCAAGAATTCTGTTCATTATATAAATGTTTTAACTGGAAAAAACAAGCATTTTCTTGCTTAAATAAAAATTTTACTTTGAACTGGTTATGGAACCTTCTCTATATTTTCAAATTTATTTTTAATTCATCTAAATTATTTTGTTAAAAAACTAATAAACTTCAATCCAGAACACAAATCATAAGGCAGATATTAAGCTACACAACTAACCTTAGTAATAATTATGTTAATTGCAATCTGCAGATGCGCAAATATTTATACTATAATTTGTAATCTGATTATCAAATAGCGCATTTGAAATAATATCATTTTTAAAATTTTTATGTTACAAATATCCAACTAATTTTATTTAAAATCATAAATTAAAATTTAAATCTCTTTTAATAAGTAATTAAGTACTTCTTATATTTGTGTTAACTAGTTTTAAATTAAAATAAAATGTATATTTTTTTTTAATTTATTAATAATTATAATAAAGTTATAAATTGTTGCCCTTTTAAAGATTGTTCCAAAGAACTGCTAAACCAGTATTGACCATAGTGACTACCACTGTAAAATTGTAATGATGTCTCATGAGATCAGACGCATTTACAAAATTACTTAACTTAGGCTGAATAATTATAATTAAACCTTATTACTGATAACTTATAACATGTAATATTATAATTTGCGGAAAGTAGTTATTTTATATTAATCATAATAATTTCCAATATTTCTTATATTATTCCCCTTGTTAACGGGTTTTATCAAAAACTCTGAACAATAACACATCTTACAACCTTCATGGCGAAAGCCCGGTTCTCTTTTTCCAGCATCAATTATTTGTTATGAATTAAAAATATATAATTACAAAACACTGCTCAAAGCGATGCGTATGACGTCATTCCTTTTTACGAGTGGCTTTCAGATTTTCGTCCGCGGTTAGAATCTCTTCCAGAGAGAATTGCAGCCCTTTCTTTTTCCCGGGGTCTTTCTTGCTCGGCCGCTTTTGTGTCCGGCCGGCAGCAATCCTGATGGTCTCCATGTATATCCACAAACACATTTATATTTCGTGAGCAAGCCGCCGCTATTCAAACACGTCTCGGCGATGATAAAATATGGATCCGACCAAAGAGGCCCTCTGCCTGAATGAACGTTTGCTTGCTTGTTTACCCAGCGAGCAGAAAGAGATTCTCTTGTGTGTATGAAGGGAAGAAGAAGAAGAAGTCACCTCCACACTCTCCACCTTTCCTTCTTGCTGCCCCATGAAATATTCATATTTCTATCTCGGCGCAGGGATAGTTTTGTCCTGTGAAATCGCGCACAATGAAAAGCGAAAGCCCTCTGATGAAAATGGCCCGGCACACTTTTGTCTCCCTGCACGCGCAACAGCATAATGAGAAGGAAAAAGAGGATGTGCTCCCGCAGGCTTGGGAAAAAAGAGGCTGCAGAATAAAGGTCTGCGCTTGACCTGAATTCCTGCTCTTCTCGAAAGGAAAACACACCGAGGAATGGCTTGTTTGTTTGGTAGCCATAAATAGACTTGGGAAAGGGATATTTTCAGTATATTTTTTTTTTCACAAAAAATTTATCCTCATTAATTTGATTTCGTTTAGCATAAAGAGTTAAAAGAGACTGAAAAATTGAAATTTTTACAACATCCTCGGGACACGTCCCTGTAATTTTATATTTAAATTGGAACAATTAAAAAAAAATTAGGCGCGTGCAAATAAAAAGGATAGTTTCCTTTCATTTTTTATTTTTTTTTCTGTTGACAATGTACAAGTATAGCGTGGAATTTCAACTATATAAAATTTTCCTTCCAAATATAATTTATAAATTAAAAAAAAAAAAAATAAAAAAAAATAAATAAGTGGTAACAAGAAAAATTAGTCGCCTCTGCGCTGCTAAAAAAAGTGGCTTTACCCATTTGTCTAAAAATTGCAAAATTAAAACCATGAATACAAAAATGAGCAACAATCAAACAATGCCCTCCTCTGATTTGGATTGATCAAAAGTTCCTCTTTACTTAATTGTGTTCAAAAGTTAAATTTTGATTTAAAGCTCCAGCAAATATATGTTTTTATTTTTTTTCATAGCCACAAATTGAAAATTGAAACATTTAATCAAATCGCTCCAAAGCAAATTAAAAACTGAAAATTTTCAAAACGAAAAAAGGCTCACTCCAAAAATAATTAAAGATTCTCATATTTTACGAGTCACTTGTTTATCTTGATGTTGGTGTTTGCGGATATCCAACCCAAAAAACTGGTCACCCTGGAATATCCCGCAGGATATTTGTTGCACGAGTAAGCCGCTCCAAAAGAGACAACACCGATTTGCGTGTACTTCCCATCCGTCTCCTTGTACATCAAAGGGCCACCACTGTCACCCTTTTTAACAAAGTTTTACTTTTTAATTCAACGTGACTTTAGATTGGTTTTTACGCTGCAAACGGATTTCGTCGGGTGAGCTCCGGTGCAAATGATCGACGATATTATGAAATCGGCTCCATAAGACTCTGCGCACTTTGCGTTGGTGATTGTTTGCAGATTCACAAAATTCATGAACCTGCTCACGTCACCGTCTATCGTATCGGGAGTTTAAACGTTTTCTTTTCAGACATTTTTACTAATAGTTACTGTTTCTCGTGATGCCATAGCCTGACGCGGTTACAGTAACACCGGCAAATTGGTTGCTTGCTTGCGATTGTTTTGGCAGACGAATTGCACCAACAAACTCATCTGATATATTTATTTTCATTAAACGCAAATTACAAATTTATTTTTAAAATTGAACAAATGGAAGATTAAAAAGTAGGAAGAAATTGATTAAAGTTTTTTTTTAATTAACTATTTTTTTTTTTAAATAAGAATTTTAGTAATTTTAATGGTTTAAAAATTACCTAAAACGAGAGCAACTTGGATCACGGCTACATCATTGATCAGCCATTTGTCAGAGTAGTTCTGATGGACAATCGCCTTGTACGACGTATACTTTTGCTCGCCCGTCTCGCTCCTTTTGATGTCAATACCTCCCGCAGAAACGACGAAAATTGATGCCCTTGCAATAAAAATATGCGAAAATCCAATTATTTAATTAATGAAATTTACTGATAGGCGCAATGGGCGGCGGTCAGAGCCCAGTTTTTGGAAATGATCGATCCGCCACAAACCCAAATGCCGTCGACCTCCAAGAAGATCTGCCAGGGAAACTGCATTTTCTTTGCTCGAGAACCACCCAAGATTTCTTCTGACACTTCCATGTTACTTTTTCCGGAGTTTTCTAAGATTTTGATTAATCCTGTATTGAGATCAAGTGGAAAATGAGATACTTGGCTGAGGGTCGGTGCCAGTGGGAAGGAAGTCAAGTCTGGGTTTGTTGGCCGGATTTTTTGCGTAAGCGGCAATTTGTTTTCTTGTGGAATTTCGCTGAGGAAGCGTTCGGATTTTCTGTTTGAGCCTATCCTTTTCTTGAGCCATGGCCTGTTAAGGTAATATTTTAATACAATCCTTTGGACAAATTATTTAAATGATACACTTATGGTCAACCAAACAACAAGCAAAGGAAGAACGTAATTCGCCATTTGGAAGAAGTAAACGTTCTGTGAAAAAATGAACAAAACGCATGTGGCCTTTATACTGTTGAGACAGGACATACTGTGCATTTTTCAATTTTAAAAGTATATTACATGCATTTTTTTAATGATTTATTTATCAGGGTGCTTCCTGTCTGGCATGAACACGTACGTCCAGTTTTTAAAGTTTTTACAATTAAGCAGCAGTTGCAATTAAATGTGTTACTTTGCCTTTTCCTCGTATTTGATAAGACGGTAAGAGATAAAAATTGTCAATTTAAGTCGTGTCGCAAAAAAATAATTGGGTAAAAAGCAGGAAAAAATTCCTTTCAATGGCCAAAATTTACTGAAAACTTTATAGTTTTAAAAATATATATTTTTATTAAATTCCACACATTAAAATCAAACTATGAAGTTTTTTGAAGAAGTTGACACTCGAGGAGATGTTCATGGAAAAAAAAGAAGTCGGGCTGTTACTCGTTGCAAAAATTGTCTTTTTATTAAAAAACAAACTTTTGCAAAGAGGAACAGCCTGACTCATTTCTCATTTCTATGAAGTTTTTATTATTGATAATTAACATTATATCAATTTTATAATTTTTCCGGTGGTCTTATCGATTTCCAAAATTAAAGAAGATACATGCGTGATTTACTATAGAAAAATAATACTATAATATGTAACTAATGGCATTTTGTTTTATAGAAAGAGAACATTTTTTTAACAAACACATCATGTGTACAACTTAAATTAACAGGAGAAGAAATACAATTTATGCAATACAATAAATTTTGTTTTATAAAGACCATTAATTAAAATATAGCAATCTGGTAAGGGTCAAGTAAGGGTTGACGGGATTATAATTAAAATGACTATTAAATAATACAAAATAAAATCAATTCACCAATAGAATTTTGATCTAATACTTTTTGGCCAATCAAAAGCTCAGTACCATTTTGATAATATCAGCTCTGATTTGTCCACTAACTATGCAAACTTGATTATTTGTTCAATTAGGCCCTCACTGAATATTTTATAAATAATTTGAAACATAAGCGAGTGAATATGGGGGCAATAATTGCTGCTAACGTGTACAGTGTAAGCTACTCACTATTTTAATTTTTCAGTTAATTCTACTTCAATTTATATTTTCAAATCTGTTTGCTAATTCTAGTTAATTTTCATCGGGACTTTTACTTGATTATATATCATTTTTTCCTATTTTTAAACCTTCATCAGCTTTTTTTCATCGTGCTGTTTTAACTTTATACAAAAATCGCTTTTTGTATGAGGAAATTAAAAACATTACATACACAAAATATCAATCTTGCCGATCCAGGCACTTTATTTCACTTAAAAAAAACGGCATGATGTATTTCACGGTCTGATTGCCAAGTTCGTCACTTGAGAAATCCAGCCCAGAAAGCTGGAGACACGTGTGTACGCTGCTGGACGATTAGCGCACGAATAAATTGATCCAAAGGAATATATCCCGATGACCGTGTATCTGCCGGTTTCCGGGTCTCTGTACATCAAAGGAGCTCCTTCGTCATTCTATAAATATTTTAATTCAAGATTTTGATAATTTGCATGCACTCAATAGCTCCCTTACATGGCAAGGCGCCTTAGTGGGATGGGGGCTGGTGCAAATATTAGTAGAATAAAATTGGCTAACTCCAAAGTTAGCGACACAAACGGCGTTGTTCACTGTTCTTAAAGTGACGTATTGCATGAACCTGGAACCGTCTGTTGCAGAATCTGAAATAAAATTAGAAAAAAAAATTAAAATTTTGAACACAAAAAATCATAAAACGATCACCATCCGCCAGGTTTCCGTAGCCAGCAATTACGGCTGACACTTTTGTAAAGGTATTTGAAGTCTGAGACAGTTTTGGTAGGCAAATCGGTCGAATGTACGGATAATCTATTAGAAGAAAAAATATAAATTTCAAATTTTGATTTCTTGCCACTTATAATTCAACTTGGAAATTTTTGTCTGCCGTTTTTTTTAAGCATGCATCGTGCAATTAAAAGTAAAAAAAAAAAACGTATTGTATAAAATTAACTGAATAGGCAAAACAAGAGTGCTTGTAAAGAAAAACCCAATTAAGAGCATTGATAAATATGTGCAAAATTTAAAAAAAAAACATCACACCTTAATATGTTGTCTGTTTAAATATTTGCATTTGCCAATTAGGATATTTTTCTATGGTTTTTTTTAATACGTCATAATTATACTTTTTTGTTAATTGTGCTTAGAAGCAATGAAAATTATTGAAATTTTTATGAAATCAAGTGTACTTCGATTGTCAACAATGTGCTTAAATAAGGCTGAAAAATTAATTATTCTAATTGTAAGAAAAAGTGTGCACTTTATAAAAATATTAAGTCATTAAATTGTTGGAAAAAAAACTTAAATTTTACGTACAGTAGTCGTTGAAGGTTAAGTTGACGGGGATGAGGGCAATATCATTTTCAAAAGTGATTTGACTGTAGTTAGGGTGTAAATAGTAATTATCCGCGAAAACGATTTGCTCAAATTTTTCCTCCACATCTAAATCGACCCCGCCAACGTAGATTTCAAACTCATTGATGCTGCCAGATTAGTATTTTTATACTTCTGTCCAAAATATATAGTGTCCAATTAATTACTCGTAAACGCAGTTGCCAGCGGTCAAAATCCAATCTGCAGAAATGACGGCACCACTGCACAGCCAACGGTCGTCACAAGCCATGTAAGCGACCCACGGAAACTGTTTCTGCGACGCATTTGTGCCACCGAGGATCTGCGGCGCGAGATGATATTCACTGAGGCCCGCACGATCTGATCAAATTCAAAGTAATCCATTATTACTCTTTTGAATGAAACAGAAAGGGATATACTTGTCTGGGGATATCTTCCAGTGGGCTTGAAGTCCAGTTTTGGTTTGTTAGCTGGATTGTCCATGTAAGCTTTAATTTCAGCTTCGGTAATGGTTTGCAGGCTTATGGGTTTTGCTACATTTCTTTTCTTCAGTTCCCTCAATGTCTGTTGTTCAGATCGCTGTTGGCAAAATTCAAAAATTTAACCAACTGAATTTAATTTTTAATTAATAATTTTACCAGGATGGATATTATGATTAGTAGGAGAAAATAAGCAAACTTCACTGCCATGGTTGTCAAAGGAAACTAAATTTTCAAATTGCAATGGTGTTTTTTTTTCTTTCTATCTCTGGTTTTTGCTCATTTTACTGCTTCCGTTTCACAAATATCAACGTATCCGACAGGAAGCTTTTAAACGTTTATCTTGAAATGAAAAAAAAACCGTGGCGTAGGAAAAACAAAAGCCTGTGGTGGCCCAGCAAAAGCAATTAAAACCTGAAACTTTATCAACCAGGTCGTTCGTGTCTAACCTGAATGTTAAGCGAGGTAGAAATAATGGCATTGAATAGTTTTGAGTGTTAAAAAATAATAAAATATTTCATGTGAAGCTTGTTTGATTAAATTGACTAACAAAAGACGGTCAAGCGGAAGATAATTTACTAGGCCGAGGATTCGTGCAAATTATTTATATTATAGTTAAAGCTAAATTTTCAATTTTTAATTTTAATTTTGAAGTTCTGTATTTTTTTTCCAATTACTAACATTTCGTCACATTTTCGAGCGATAATTTTTGTAGCTCTCAAATCTCTGTCTGCAGTAAGGCTTTTTCCATCGTGTTTTTTTTAATTTTGCAAAAATTATACTTTTTGGTTGTTGAAAGGATTAAGCATTATTATTAATTAAATTGCTCATAAAACCAATATTGCCGATCACGGAACTTAATTTTATTTCACACAAAATAAAGTAGTTCTGCATTACATAGTTTAAGGTCTGATTGCTAAGTTCGTCACTTGAGAAATCCAGCCCAAAAAGCTGCTGACACGAGTGTACGCCACTGGACGATTGTCACACGATGAACTTGATCCAAAGGAGTAGAGCCCGATGACGGTGTATCTGCCGGTTTGCGAGTCTCTGTACATTAAAGGAGCTCCATCGTCATTCTGTGGATAGTTTAATATAAGATTTGATGTATATTTTCATAACGTGCCCTTTACATCGCAAGGCGCCTTAGTGGGATGGGGACCTGTGCAAATGTTGGTGCTAAAAAAATCGGAAGATCCATAGTTGGCGACACAAACGGCGTTGTTGACCGTTCTTAAAGTCACGTATTGCATGAACCTGGAACCGTCTGTTGCAGAATCTGATGAAAATTAATTTTTTTTTAATTTAATTACACTTTGCAAAGAAACAAACACTCACTTTCCACCGTGTCTCCATAGCCAGCAAGCACAGCTGACACTTTGTTGAAGGAATTTGAAGTCTGCGATAGTTTTGGTAGGCAAATTGGTCGTATGTAGGGGTAGTCTAAAAATTGAACAAGTTTTAATTTCCTTTTTTCATCCCTCGATTAGTAATTATTTTTTATTATAGATTTGCAAAATACGATTGGCTGCATTTTTTTTTAATTAGGATGAATCGTGAAATTGAAGTAAAAAAAGCATTTTTATAACATTAAAAATTAATTGATCAAAGCTGAAAGTACATTGGTAGAAAGTCTACTTTAAAGCGAAAAGTGAATTTGATAAAATGTGTGAATCATAGACACACAAAATTATGTTTGAATTTTAGCATTACGATTTTAAGATACTTAAAGTAATTCTATGAATTTTCAGCAAATTCAAACTAAAATCTGCTAAAATCTATGAAGTATTTAAATTTTTGTGAGCTCTAATGCGCACAAACAAAACACTATACTCATGTTGGATATAATAATTTTTTCAAAACAAAAACAAAAATATTCTGAGGAAAACTAATTAGGTCCAGATATTTGTACGCACAGTAGTCATTGAAGGTCAAGTTGACTGGAACTAGGGCAATGTCATTTTCATAAGTACTTGTGTCGAAGTCGGGGTGCCTATAATAATAATCCGAGAAAACGATTTGCTCGAATTTTTCCTCCACGTCTGTATCCACCCCACCGACATAGATTTCAAATTCGTCGACGCTGTCAGAGAAATATTTTTCAATGGCTATCAAAATTAAAAGACAAATTACGTACCCATAAACGCAATTAGCAGTGGTCAAGATCCAGTCTGCAGAGATAACGGCACCATTACAGATTGAACTCCCGTCCATAACCATAAATGCGACCCACGGAAACTGCCTTTGCGACGCATTTGTGCCACCGAGGATCTGTGGTGCCAGATGATATTCGCTAAAACCCGCACGGTCTGCTCAAATTCAAAGTATGTGATTATTTATTTTGAATAATTCTCAGAGGGATCTACTTGTTTGGGGATATGTTCCAGTCGGCTTGAAATCAATTTTCGGAGTGTTGGCTGGATTTTTCATATAAGCTATAATTTCATCTTGGGTGGTTGGGCGTGCGGGTTTGGTAAAGCCTTTCATCTTCAGTTTACTCAACGCCTGCTGTTCAGATTGCTGTTGGACAAAAAGAGAACCATAATTTAAACGACTGAATTTAAGTGCAGAAATTTACCGTGATCAAAACGATGATCAGGAATACAAAACAAGACAACTTCACCGCCATCGTGGTGAAAAGAAACTAAATTTTGGAATTCCGATGGTATTTCTCACTCTGATTTTTATTTATTTTACTTGCTCCCTTTTCACGAATATCTCATTGCTATCAACTTACCTGTCAGGAAACTTTAAATTTTTTATCATTAAATGAAAAAACACAACAACCTTGGCGACGCACAAACAAAAAACACAATCAAAAAGGCAATTAAAATTTCAAAACTTTATCAACCAGGTCATGCGTTTCTGACCTGAAAGTGAGGTAAAGTAAAAAAAGTAAAATGCAACAATTTTTTTTAATAAAACAAAATTATTTGTTCAAAATATAAGGTTCTTCTTATTAATTAAAATACAAATTTTTATACAATAATCAATAATATTATGTATTTTCATTTTAATAATATTCTTAATTTTGTAATTTCACAGTTATTCAGAAAATTTTACATTAAATTATTTCTCAAAATGTGTTTTTTTCTTATATAAAAATATGTATTTGTTCAGCCATTTTTACTACAGCACAATCATTATTTTTAAAAGTCTGGTAAAGACAATACAGGATTCTTTGGCGTGGCATTTAAAATGATAAAATTTGAATAATTAATGTGATTGTACTACTTAATATTCTTAATACCAACTTCTTATTTTGAGGAGTAAAATTACGTTTTAAATAAATAATTACTGCATGAAGGTTGATTTTTTTTATTGACTCTTTGCTATTTAGAAGTTTCCTATCATCTGCTCGGAAAATTGTCGCCATTCTCCTCCCACGCGAAAAGGCAAACAATACCAAACAGAAGTGCTTCGAACGCGACCTAATAGTGGCTGCAAATTCAATATGACGTTTCGAGCATATCAACGCCAATTGAAACGCTGCTCGGCTCATCGTCATCAGTCCGTCCTAGCCAGCGCAATCAAGTCACTCATTCAATTCAGGCGGGTCACTAGACTGATTGAATTCGCTGCAAACACACACAAAACGTGCCGGCTGCGAGAGTGAGAATAAATTTTCGCCGGCGAGAATTCCTAATTAATCGGCCGACGTGATTGGCAGCACCGAGCAAAAGAGCCAGTGGATTTTTTTGCTCCAACTTGCGTCACCGGATTTTGTGATTTATTCGATCCGTGTTATTTTTAACCGCCCACCTACGTGTGTGAATATAGGAACGCACTGTTTTTTATACATCGCTCCCTTTTGAGGGTGGCAATAAATTTCCCCGGAACTTTTTCCACCACCACGTGATAGATAGATCCGTATAGATAGTTGGGTGCCGAATCGGTTTTTGTTTGCCGATGAAAAATTACCAGATCCATCAAAGCGCGGTATCAAGGTGGGAATAAATTATTACTTGTGTGGAGGAGGCGGTTTGCTCTGTGTTTGCGAGGTCGCTTGGGGCTGCGAAGAAAAGCGGCGCAGGCAATCGCGGATAATAAATTCGCGCGCCGCACGAAAAACGGCGGCACAAGCTCCAGAGGAAAGGCACAGATTTGCTAGTTTGCCACTCGATCGAATACCACTTTTTCCTATCCATTCTCATTTTCTCTGCAACTTCACACCTTTTTATTGACTTCCGAAAAGAAAAAATCATAATTGTAATTAACAGTTACTTATTTACCAAAAACATAATATAATGAATTGAAATTTGAGAAAATGATAGGGAAAGTAATCCTTCAGTTTCTTAAAATCTGTAAAACGTGTCAATTTTTAGCATTATATTTTTCACACACACAAAAATAACTAATAATTGTTATCATTTATCTCTTTGAATCATCTATCCCTGGGAATAATTTTCCCTAAAATCATCTATATTATCCAAAAAAATTACACCTATAATTTCCTTTTTCAGTTCAATCATTAAAATAATTTATTTCACACAAAAAAAACATTCAAGAAATTCCTTTCAATTCATATCCCAAAGGGACGAAAAGAAAATTTCAAGATCTTTGTGCATAAAACTTCTGGGCTTTTTTAAATGGTGGGATAATTATTATAATTTATAATATTTAAAGTTTCCAGAAACCATTTATGATTTGGACATATTATTGTGATGGAAAGTTTCAACTTCTAAATTTTGTTCAGAAATAAATTTTCTACAAAAGTTATTAAAATCTTATAAATTAATTTATTTATTGTTATTTTTTAATTTTCACCTTTTAAATGAAATATATGTCATGAATTTTTCTTTCTTCATTTTTAAATGTCACTTTGCGACCGGTTTTTGCTAATTATCTTATGACAGCCTAATTACCGAGAATTTGAACTTCAGAGCATTTACGTATTGTCATAATTTTCCCTGCTCCCATTTCGTCAACGACATTCGAGTAATTGCACTAGTTTCCTCGGCGTGAAAAATTCGGTAAAAATCTTCAAGTGGCTCGTTCGAAGGGCACGCTCGACCGTCGCCCGTCGACGCAGATTGAAAAGGAAAGCGGCGAAGTGCCACTCGCATCACAAAAGCGAAAAATTCCTCGTTTTTTCCTGCGCTCAGACTCATTTGGGCGAAGCGGGTCGGGCTCTTAATTTGTGCAATCTCGAGAGTGGATCTCTGAAGTGCCCGAAAGGGGAATTCGTGCTGATATTTAGGGCCGGTTTTTGAAGGAGAGCTCGGCAATCTTGGAGACGCGGAATGACGGGCCGGCGGCGACGCCGGAGCCAAAAGGCCGGAATGTCTAAAGTGGCCCCTCGGGGTCAAGGGATATGAACCGGCGGGTCTCGAGTGCGCAAAAAGAAGAAGCGGCCGCCATGCTGGCCGGCGACACTTCTTTTTTTTTATGCGTTCTCGCCGAGCTTGTTTTTCACAACGAAAAAAGGGAAAAGAGAGAAAAAAAAATATATAAACGAATTGATAAGAGTTTTGCTGCCGTCGCGGCCAACAACTTCCGTGTATTTATCGCTCGAAAAAATAAGAAAGTGACCGCGTTTTCTTCAACGAAATAAAAAAGAAAACGCATTTTTTCAAGAGGAAAAATTGCCGGCTCGGACGGGCTCGCTTCTTATTTTCTGATAAATCTCCTGCCGCCCGTCAAGCGGCGCAGACGTGACGCAGATAATAAAGAGCCTTCCTTCGTCTTGTAATTGAGATTTTTCCGAGAGACGCTAGCGCGGGCCACGCACAACAACAAACATTAAACACTTGAAGGGCCAAAGGGTTCGGCCATGATTTATATTCACTTTCAGGCCAGATAACTGGATGAACTTATTTCCTCCCCGAAAAAGTCCCATTTCCGGGGGAAAACGCGCCGCCGCAAATCGGCATTATCAGAGCTCGTGTGTGCGTCGAATTTATTGAAAATTTGATTTATTTATTTTCCCCGGCTCGCGCGGCAGGTCTTAATGGATTCTCTCCCGGGTACGCTCTCTCGCACGGGAAAACTCCATTAAAATTTGCGCTCGTCGTGAAACAGGAATAAATCTGCCAAACCAATTGCGCCGAGTGGTTCGGAAAACGCACAAGCCGATGACAAAGGAGGGGCACTGGATTTGGCCCAAAACCAAAAGGTGGCATTCACCCCAAATGAGGGATGTTTTATTGCGCTCTGCTTGTGGTTGGGGACAAAAATTGGAACTTTATAAAGAGAATCATAAATTGAGAAGATATTTTGATGTGAAATTCACGCCCCAGTCTCACCCAAATGGCCATTCAATATATTATTTATACATCATATTTATTTAAAAATCTATTTTATTGCCAGCTTGCAAAATAATCCGTTTTATACAGAAAATTTGAAATACAGAGATTTTACATATTTCAGTTCGGTTGATGAAAATTTTAATTATAATATTTAAATACAAATTTGTTTTTTACCTTCTTCGTCTATTTTAAAATTTAAAAAAAGATAACTTAATTCATAAATATTAAATATAAAAATAAATAAAAAATAATTCTTATCAAAATTTATTGAATAATTTTATGTATAATCTAGGTTTGCAGGGAACAGTCTTCTGTCTTTTCATGGAATTTTAAATCCTAGGTTTGACATAAAAAGTAATTGTGGCTTTATAAATAGCTTACGTGCAGTGTCATTTTTTTTTATAATTATAAAACGACAGTACAAAGTTTGAGTTTAATTTTTTATTATAAAAAAAACGAATTAAATTAATCTGTTCTCTCGACAATGACGTCGTACTATAATTTAAATTATTTTGTGTACATTCAATTAGCGCACGTATGTATTAAATTTCTGCTTACCTGAACACGTCCCAAAAATTATAGCGTCCTCTGACCGCACCTTTGGTGTTTGGACGCCCTCCCAAATGGGATTAGCTTTTGCTGCTAGACGAGGAGCTAATTATGTTGTGGTCTACAAATATCACGCGCCTATGAATACTGGCAATATGGAATAAACGCAAACAATATCTGCACAAACACCTCCTTTTAATTTTAGACAAATTCGTCCAAAAGTCAATTTTGTGAATTTTGATCCTTCGGTAGCAGAGCGTTGGCCAAAGTTGATCAATCAATTAGGCAGCATAATTGAGCGGTCGGATGCGGCAACGTGCGGCCATAAATCGCGGCGCTGCTTTTTCCTCGCCACGCGCTCTCATCCTAATTGCAGGCGATTTATTTCGCGAGCTGCGCAGCTTTAGCCTTTAGCTGGTAAAAATAAATCGCTCATTTATTGAGCGAAAGAGCGCGGCCCACTCGGGATTTGATCGGATTATGAGAGAAACTGCTTGATTTTTTCAACGAAATTGGTTCGGACGCGGCAATTTGATGGCCTTAAATTGAGTGATACATACAGATAGCTTTTTTATTCTCTTTGGTGTATTTTGTTTTGAATTTTTGGAAAATATTTATCAATTTTATTGATATTAAGTAATATGCATTGATTTTACATGTTAAATGAAAATTGAAGGTAATAATTTATAAAAAAAAACAAAAACTTGAATTAAATTGATCAAAAAGTGAAAACAATAAAAGAAAAATACAAAATCCTAAAGAAAAATCAGTTGGCAAGGGCGGCTTTCATTGCTCATGTAAGGGAAATGTGAATTAATAAGTCACAAGTTCATACAAGAGATAATCAATTTTATTGAGAAACGAGTTAAATTTGTTTAAATAGTTGCAGTTGCATTAAATCATTGATGCCGTCAGTCACATTAATGGAAATCGTGATTTATCCTGTAAATAGGAATAAAACAACTTCTTTGAATAAAAGTGTTTATGAATCCTTTGCGATTGTTAAAAGAATTGCATTTAAAATTGGTTTCCTTAAAAATTAAATTTATTTTTTTAAAGATGTAATAAAAATCATATTAATTCTAATTCTATTCACTTAACACATACAAATGGAACCACTTTTTGAATTCAAATCACGTTGAAATTTTTCCGTATCCGAATAACATGTTTTCCAGTCCGCTCGTTCCTTTTTTTTCTTTTGGATTCAGCAGAGCGACTGGTATCGGCCTGGAATGAAAAATTACCCTCGCGTATAAATATTTATGGCAAGGAAATGGGCGCGCAATTTGAGTTGATTGCAGGCAGCAGTGCGATCGGCGGGCGTCGGGACGAGCGGTGATCTGGTTAAATATTTGGATCACACCGGCCCCATGTTATGAATTATTAATCCGCTCTGCTCTCGATGACCGTCCCTGGGGATGTCTATCGGTTTATGGCGCGCGCCGACCGCATCTCCATTGTGCTGTGCCTATTTGTGCATGCGGACGGATCCCGGGCGATATTCTCTGTTTGTCCGTCGGCAAACGTGATCGACAGACGGCACTTTATTCCTTGGCGAGCAAAGTCTAAACATCATCGGCCGCTCTCAAGCGGCCCCCGGCTTTGAATTATGCAACCAAAGGCGTCCGTTTGGTCCCTGAGGCGCCGAGAAAGGGATCAGCCAGATCAGCCCAAGAATCAGGGGGGACTTTCCAATTAAGGCCGGCTTTGAATTTCAAAAAGGAAAAAATGGCCCCTATGGCAATAGGAATAATTTAACCAATAATATTCAAGGAAGAGTTCAAACTGAAAATTTTCAAGAAGATATCGGGTGGAAACATTGGAAGCTTTATCAGCATTTTCCTTTTGATAAGACAAGATATTTTTCTGTTTTTTTTTCAGTTATTTCTAATGCTTTTTATATCTATCAAAATATACCATGCCTAATATAAAAAAGTTTAAATAAATAAATACAGTTCGCCTTCAGTCGTTATCCTTGGAAATTTTCTGATAATGCTTTTTCCATGAACTACTTCATAATAACGAAGCTCTTGTTCTGACGTTCTAATTGAATTAATTCCACGACAATTAGTTTAGCAAAGTTTGGCAACGATTCTCTTGCCAAAAAAAGAAAATCATTAACCTCATTACCAATTTCTGAGAAAAGCTCAGCTCTGTATACAATAAACATAACTAACTTAAGGGTTCTACAAAACAAACACATTTTTTTTGTTCTCATTACAAGGTCTTTAAATTTAGTTCCTATCAGTCCCTGCCTCTTTAGAAGATGTCAGATGATTCCTTATTCACCTAGCTATCAAAAATTAAAGTTATGATCATATTGTCCTTAAAATCTCATATTTTAGCTATAAAATAAAATAAAATACATTTTACTTTTTTCTTTTTAATTTCTGAAATTTTATACATGAAAAATAAGATTTATGGTAATAAAATGAAAAATTTTATTTTTTTAATTATAATATAATTTTTGTTAAAAAATAAAAATTATAGAAAAATAATAATTAACTAAAGCAACAATATATTAGTTTTTAAAATATTTGCGCATATTGGGCACAAAAGTAAAAATATTGTATTTTTTATTTTTGCAATTTATACTGGTTTTAAATAATTATTAAACTTAATGTTCTTTGTTCACAGCCGCCTCTATTTTCGGCGTCGGAGCTCAAGTTTACGTCAACCCTGACGCGCCCAGTTCCTCCTCGGCAGCGCCGTCGGGCGCCGACCTGGTGACGCAGACGGTGTACGGTTTCCTGGACTTCACGACCACCATCGGCAACACGGTGATGGTCTTCTCGCCGCAGAGCGCTCCCGCAGCCCCAGGTTTGTAGTGCACATTACATTACAAACCCTCATTAAAATGCACAACGATAAGATTTTACGGGGGTGTCGTAAAAAGTTCGCAAAAGAGGCGCAAAATAATGAGCTTGATAAATTTTGCCATTTTCCATTTGCTTCGTCTGCGAAAAAAAAGTGACTAAAAAAAAGAATTTTGTGTAAACAGAACATATGCATTGTGTGCGAAATAATTGGTAAATAGATCAAGATTTACAAATTACAGAGTCAGTTTTTTGTGTGTGAAATAAACAAATTATTTTTAGTCTGATTTTGTTATAATTTCTTTGAATTTCAAGTTGCTTTCAAGAAGGTTGAAATGGTGAAAAATTAAAATCAAGATTTATTAACACTTTCAAGAAAGACGGCCGATTGAGTTATTTAGTTTTTGGTTATTGATTTAGCCGTTTATGCTACATAAATTCTGTTTCAGCGTTGGAGTTGCCAAAAATTCATAAATTTCCTCACATTATAATGCAATTTTTTAATTAGAAAAAGAAAAAAAAAATTATTTTTAGTATTGAAATCAACTATTTAATAACGTTTAAAGGCGGGAATAACAAATGCAGGCAGATTTTATGTATTTTTTTTAACTTTGGTATTGAATTAGTTCATTGTGATTTATTTGATAACTTTACAGTAAGATCAAGTAGCAGAAACAATTTGTCAATCGATTAAGAATTTGCAAGTCGAATAATATATATATTTAAATATTTTTTGTATTTCCATCTGTGAAAAAGGCACGTGCTGTGTATAACTTTTCCAAACGCGCGAAATGGCATTCCGCAAGTTGCATTTTTGCAGAACAATGCTCTCTTTCTCCGCAAGGAGCAGAGCATTCAGGGTACGCAGCCATGCAGGAAAAGCAGCTCCCGCCGAGCTAACTGCCAAGGCCACCACTCGTACAATGGGCAAAATTATTTTATCGCCCGTTCGCGCTCGCCCGCCTTCCTCTCGCCGGGAATTATTATACTTTCCCAGCAGCCGGCTGCTCATTATTATTCCGGACATTATTTCTTTCCCATTCATCTTGGGCGACGACGAATGCTGGTGCCGGGCGAGAATAAATGCTGCGGACACAATAACACAATAAACTCGCCGCCACCAACTACAGATTTTTCTAATCACACGCGCGCACAGCAGATGAGAGCAAAATACCAATCGCAAATTGCTTTGTAGTCTTGAAAGAAAAATCCGACAAGTCTTGCTTTTTTTGTGGATCAATTTTATAACTGAGAAAAAAAGATTCATTTGAAATTTAAGGAATTTTTTTATTAATCCTTTTCTCCTTTATTCTTTTAAATGTTGTACACTAATGAGAAAAAAGGACTATCAATTTATTTTTAAAAAAATTGGCTTTATGCATGTCTTAATATCTAGTTCCCAAACTTTCAAATTGTTAAAAAGTTTATTTTTTATTTGAATTGAAACATGTTTATTGTGGCTTGTAGCTATTGAATAGAATATAACAGTAGAGAAATGATGGAGACATTCATGTTGTTCATTATTCATTAAAAATATAACACTACATACTTACTAATTACTTTGTTAATTATAAAATATTATAAAAAATTTTATGTTGAGACAAATCTTCAAATAAAAAAACACAAAAAACATTTTGACAGAATATAAATATAAAAGTATTAATTAAAATTAAATTTATAGCAAAATTTGTATTACTAAAATAATTTAATAAATATTTCTAACAAATTAAATTAAAATAATAATTTTTACACATTATCTTACGCGTCAATGCTTTCTTTTTATAAAGATCAATAACAAAATCTGTTTATTACTTAACTTTTTTTATTATGAATCTTGTCTGCTTTAAGCACCCTTTTCATGCAACCCACTCGAATTTAGTAACATGAAGTTCATTTCCCTGCCTGTTTTTTGCTTCGCGTTTCGGTTATGCACGTTAGCGAAAAGTAGCAAGTTAGTGTTTTTTACAGCCACGCCATAATCCGAAAATAATACACAATCGTAAAGCCCTGCTTCTCTTTCTCTCAGCACTGTATACACCCTTGCTGGCAATAATAAAACTATACTCACTGCCTCGCAACTGCAGAGAGCGAGAGAATTGTTTATTACGCCACCAGGCAATAAAAAGCAGCAGAATCAAAAGAATCTACGAGTCTGATGAAAAGCTTTATACATTTAACGCCGCCGATTATTATCAATCATTTTATTTGGATATAATATTCGGCCACAGCAGATTGGCAGATTGGAAAATTTATATCACTTACACGGATCGCAGCAGCAAATTGAAAGGGCTTTCCTCTATTTCTCTCCATAAAGGAACCGGAGCGTACGAGACACTTTTACAACTTGTAAATTTGCCGCCGAGCAGCAAAGCAGCCGCCGGCGGTTGAAATAAATTTCGCTTGGCCACTTTTCAAAGTTTTACTACCACGCCAGCCGCTGCTTCTACTGCTACACACACACCCTTTCTTTCACATATTGATTTTTAATGGCGAAGGAAATTCGTCGCACCGAATAAAAAAACAAAAGGCGTCTTGGAAAATTTATATATTTTTTTTTATTCAGGGAGGCAGAGTCATTTGCAGAGTGGAGAGAGCCAGAGGCGCGAAATATGAAGCCGAACCTGTTGAGTTATGGAAATTGTTATATCAAATTGGTCGACGACGCGCGCGCCGGGCTACGCCGCATAACAATGCGAAAATCCACCCCACGTATCGATTTCTTATTCCGGCAGCTAGAGCGAAACGATATAAAAATTCAAACAACTGCCGGACCGTGTGTAATATTCGCGTAATGATGCTCGGCCGGAATAAATTTTTTATTCATGTAATATTTTTATCGACGCCTGCGGTGCCGAAATAACGATATAGATGGAAAATGTAGCGCGCAAATTGAGCCGTCCGTTGAAAAATCTCTCCGGCCGGGAATGCTGATTAATACGAAGCGATTTCTTTCTCGGTGGTGCCGCCGATAAATTAACTCTCGTTTTTTCGCCGCCAGCAACACCAGCTCGATTTATTTTATCCCTCTTTTTTTCTTGTTTCTGCAGAGCCGCCAAAAAACACGCCGGCGCCCAAGCCGATCGAGACGAAGCCGCCGCCGACGGCGTCGCCGACCGCCATCACCCCTAGCAAGACCGTGACCGCCGAGAAGAAACCGGTGGAGAAGAAAAAGGTGTCCAGCGTGGTCGAAGTCCGAGTCTCGTCGGCCGTCGTCACCCCTCCTCCTCCACCCCCACCGCCGGTCGTCTCCAGCAAGGTCGAGGTCAAGGAAAGCGTGTCGAGCAAGGTCGAGGTCAGGGAGAGCACCCACGTGGTGGTCAACGCCGTCCCCGCCCAGCCGATCGTCTCCAGTGTGGTCGAGGTGAGGTCGAGTGGCGGCGACAGTTCGGACAATTTGCTGTCCCCGCCCGAAGTGTACGACTTCCAGCTGACCAACCCTCAATTTGTCAACGAAGAGTCCTCACGGGTAACTAAAAAAATTATATTTCAGCTGAAGACAAATTTAATGAAATAATTTTGATTTTATTGGAAAAACTCATCTGTGAACAAATTTGTTTTAACGTCACTTTAATTGTGAACACAATATTGAAGGATATTTAACAATCTTATTGAATTACTTATTTCATATTTAACATTTATATTATAACATGACCATAAATAAAATAATCATTTAGTAGGATCATTAACACTATACATACATTATCTCTATTTCATCTCTAGTAAAAGATTCATTTCACTCTTGTGGATCCCCTCAACATTTATATTATAGATTTTTCTAATAAAAAAAAAAAATAGTGATATTAACTTACAAATTTACTGCTTTTTTAAACTATTAAGTAATTCTCTTTTTATAATAAAATATAAAAATTGCAATATTGTGTTTATAAAAATAGAAATATCATTTATATATAATAAACATACAGAAAATAAAACAAATTAAAACTTAAAAATTATTTAAATATTAGTGCACATGTATTTTTTTAATTGACATAAGTTGTATTTGGCCTTTAAGAGCTACAGAAACTAAGTTAAAACTTAAATATTAAAAAAACTCACCAGTGTGAAAAATACAATTATTTTTCTATTATATTATAGATCTATGACCTGAAAGGCCCAAGCAGCAAAATTCTAAAGAATCTGCCTATCTCACACCGCCACGTCAAGCCTCAGCAAGTGGGCATCATCACCACCAAAGTGGACACCGTTGTTCGCGACGGTTTGACCACCGTGCACGAAACCACCGTCCTGGGCACCGTCACCAACGGCAAATACAGCACCATCGTCCAAAAGACGTCGACCATCAAAGCCGAGCCCGAGCAGCACATCATCAGGCCCTCAAATGTTCAAAGCATTTTGAAAACCGCCGTCCCCGTGTTTGCTCACCACGATCAGGTAAATACGAGATGCAATTAAAAAAGACACCTTGTTTGAAAAAAAAATTGGAGCAAAAGTAAAATTCTTCTTCACTTAATATTTGCAGTAAAAATTATGATATTTTTTTTTAATTAGTTCTAGGAATTTTTAATTTTGCTATCAAGATAATGATTATGCTAATATTTATTAAAATGAAATTTTTGCAGGCCCATCTGGAGCCAACACCTGCCGGTGCCGCTTACGTAGAAGAGACGGCGTTTAGTCCCGACGGAGAACAAGAGTTGAGCACCAAACCCCTGCGTCGTTCGGCTGTCGTCGCTGGAAGGAGCGATTTCTTGACCAGACTGCACCGTAGCCGCAGCGCCACCTTTGGAGACGATGAAGATGACTATGATGTCGACGCCAGCCCCAAGTTCGCAACAACAAAAAGACCAAGCAAGTCCAGGGTTTTGCAGCAAGTAAGACCTACCTCAAGGTAAGACAGTTTGATTTTTAAGTATATTTTAATATTTTTAGAAAAAGAGTTAGTTCTTCTAACTCAGAGCACATTATTCTAATCCTTTGAATTAATGACAATTATTTCATTAGATCCATGCATGACTTTGAGCATTGTAATTTGTGTATAGCAAAGCAAATTATGAAATTAATTTGAAGAAATTATGATATTTTAAAGGTTTTAGGAAACTTTTTTTTTAAGAATCGGGTTGATCTTTGATTAGTAAAGTAAAAATCTAATTTTAAATTGTTTTGTGCAAAAATTGGGAAAAACATTTAATAACTTTCCAAATTTCCTGGACTCAAATCAATTTTTTTTATAAGTTCTTGCTACCTATCCGAAAACCTGAAATTCATCAATGTTAATATTCCAAAAATTTATTTATTGAAATTTGTTTTTAACCAGATATCTTAATAGATCTCAGAAAAGAAAATTTTAAATTTTGTTCTTTCTAGACCCTTGAAATTAAATGATTGACTTAAAAAGGAGAAGGTTTTGCAGAATCAATGCTTTCGGAATTGAAAGGGAGATTTCTTCTAAATTTGCAAATAATTTAAACTTAAAATAAAAATTAATTAAGAATTTTTTTGGTTTAAACATAAATTTTTATCGGTTTTGATCTTCTCCTTTTTTTTGTAAATTTTGTAAATTCCATGCGCTCGCTCGCACGTCCCAAACTTCCATCGCACCACCCACCCTTTAATTTATAATTCGCACACTAATCGTCACCATTGACTAACTTCGGCACTGTTTCTCTGTCCCTGTCCCTGTGTGTGTGCACGTGTTCGGCAGCGCCCGTTTCGCCAACTCGCGATTCGGCCGCACGTCGAGCACCTCCGAGCTGGCCACGGTGTCCGTCTTCTCCGGCGAGCCGCGCACCCACTCGACGGCCAGCGTCGGCGGCCCGCCGACCCGCTTCAAGTCGTACCGCAACCGCGTCGCCACCAGCGCGCGTCCTAACACGATTACCGAAACCCCCAGTTACCAGCGCCGCGGCTACAAGTCCTCGAGGGCCAGCACCGGCGGCCAGGCCAGCCAGGAGGAGCGGCCCAGCGTCTTCCAGGCCCAGTCCAGCGCGCCCCTCAACAAGTTCAAGCTCAACCGACCCGCCGGCCGATGGCAGTACAAAACCACTGTCAAACCCAGGGTCACCATCCGCCAGCAGAACGGACCTGTCAAGACCAACGCAGTAGCCAACTCTGAACAGGTTAGTGAATTTTTGATCAAATTAACTCTAAAAAAGTAGATAAATTAAGGATTTTTAAATAAAAAAATTAAATTTCATGTTTTAAACAAAAAGTTTAATTTTCCACAGCTATAGAACCAAAATTTTTCTTTTTTTAACTTTTGAAATTGATATGCCCTTTCCCAATATACTTATATCAACCTTAACAGGAGCTTTTTCTTATTTACTTTAATTATTGATTTAATACCCATTGTACATATACATTTAATAATTGTGCTACCCTAATTCTCATTGCAGGTTGATTTTCTCTGCATAATGATACATGATACTCATGAACATGCATATCAATTTATAAAAAAAAATGCATTTAATATAAAAAATATATAAATTAGATTTGTTAGCTAATAGAATTAAACGTAGCATAAAAATCATATTATTATGTATGTAATAAAATTATATAATTTTATAAACATAATTATAAAAACCATATAAATGGTTATATAATATTTGAATTTAAACCAGATGTAAATAATAATCAGGCAAATATTTTTGTAGCTATGTTAAATAGCAATTTTAACATATTATATTTGAGGCAATCATATTAATTTTAAATTTCATTGTTTGCATTATTTATCGGTTTTACGTCCTGTTATTTCATTTTTAGAGTGCATAGTTGACCAACAGTCAAAATACTCATAATCTTATTATTTCCTCTACTGGACCAGGGAAAAATTCAAAATTTTCTTAACTTCGACGATCAAGATTTAACGTCTTTGCAATATTTTTGTGTAATTTTATATTTTAACTAAAAAAAAGCGTTTATACTGTCTCATCTGTTTTTCAATTAATGATAAATCAACATACATTTGAAATTGTAAATTAAAGTAGTTAAATTTCGAGTTCATTATGTACTAAATAAGTTTATTTTTCAATCCAATTGATTGATCTGGTTGACAGGAGAGCCAAAGTTTTTTTTCCACCGCAACGAAATTAATCCGCCGAGTAAATGATTAGTGGCGCCAGCAACTCCGTGGAGTACGTGCGACGTGCTCCACTCCAGCGGCCTTAACGAGATTCGTCGCGATCAACAAAGGCGGGCGTATTCAATTAAGTCGGTCCAATGTTGTCTCTGTGCGTGTGTGGCAAATTAGATTTCTGCGACTGCCGATCGTCAAATTTTAATTCGCCCCGGGGCTGCATAGTGTCTTTGCGGGGATAAAGCCAACACATAAACCAGCCGACGTTCGGCGGATTTTAATAGATACAAACGCGCTCGTGGGCGGATAGAGAGGGTGAAATGCCATTACTCGAGACCAAGTCTAGAAGCGAGCGGCAATTCCCTTGGCAGCGCTGCTTTTGATGTTTGTCACACAGAGAGCTAGCGAGGGCAAACTTTCGCCATCAAACCCCGACGATAACGATGATTGCCAAATATAATTCGACAAGTTGAGGAGCAAAAACACGCCGGCGTCGTAATTATTTACTGCGATCGCACCGGCAGGCCAATAAAACGTACGGGCCAAACTTTCGAGCCGAGGATCACGCGTCGGATTTTATTGTTATTACGGACGGGGACGAGAAAGAGCGAAAAGCCCGCGCATAAATTGGATAATAAAACCGGCCCGGAGTTTGACGCTCGACTGAGGTGTCACGCGCAATTAGACTTCGGATACGCTCTAATTTAGTACTAAGCCCTCTCGCAAATTGAAGTCCCTTTGCCTCCGGCTAAAAATAAAGCTTAATTACCGGCGCTCGCTCGCTTTTCTGCTGCATTTGCGTTAAATTCCCGTATTACACTCGGTCTGCCTGGCGAGTTATGCAGCAAGCTGGACGTCGCTGCTTTGCGGTCGGGCATAACCATCAGGGGCCGTGGAATGCAGTCGCCACAACAAACACAGTTCTCAGGAGCAGCTTCAAAGCTTGATACTTAATTAGTTCAAAACGTTTGCACACGGTCTTGTTTTTCCATTAAAATAATGAGGTAATAATCCAGTTTATAAAATTTAATTTAAATTTAAATTATTGCTGGAATAAAATGTAATATTCATTGAATGTTTCATTGAGGGTCTCTTTATTTACATAACTAAAACAAGATTCTACCAATAAGGAGTCCCTAACGAATATAATCGTAGCTTGAATTTGGCAAAGGCAAATACCTCTGATGACAATTTATTGCTGTATTAACAAATTTTTTGTTGAAAGGCATTTCAATTTTGAGTTTAAGCTAAAAAAAAATCGTTGGTTGTTACTATAATCTTCTGAAAAATAATCAAAGTGAATAATTTTCATCAAATGGAAATAAAAATTTACGTGCCTGTGCACATTGAACGTTAGGTATAAAATACTATTAAAAAAAAGTAAGAAAACTGAAATTTTTTGTAGAATATGAAACAATTGTGTGATGTTTAATAATAATTTTAGTAGAAATAAAAAGTATTCTTCACAACCGTGACAGTGAATTACTTTTTTGTGAATTTTTTACATAGCAAAAAATGCTGTGACTCGTTTACTACTTGTTTTCCAACTCCCAAAATAACTCCAGAATTCCAAATTAGAAAGTCTTGATTAATTATGAATGCAAACGACGTTGTCAAGTTTAAAGTGGCCAACCCTGATGTCCAGCAACGTCGTTATCTGTTTTATAACGACGTTGTTGATGCACCGGCCGTCGCTCCGGAGTGCACGAGGGCGCGAAATTCCTGCCGGCTGGTTTGCTTTAGTCGGCGTGGATCCATTAATAAATTAGCACGCGTGCGTGTCCAGAGGCGTAATTAGCACCTGGATAAACAGAAGCATCTCTAGTGGTGCGACGAAAATATGTACGCCGGTCACTCTCGCAAACTCGGACGGACAAACCGAGAGCGCTTTCGGGAGCTGCTCTCGCCACCTGGGACCGGAAGCAGGCGGGCGAACGAGCCGGCAACACACTGCCGCGCGCCGGATAATTGCAAAATTTATGAGTTTCGAAAATGCGGTGCCACAGCCCCGAATGCTCGGCGGCGCTTTTGTTTCTAAGAGCAAAAAGGAAGCACTAAATGTTACAAGTGCTTTTTTTACCTCCACGGTCGACACATTTTTTGCCAAATCTTTTATATAAAAGTAATTTTTATAACATGATCCTAACTCGTTCTGAAAATTTTCTCCAATATAAACCAAAAGAAAATAAGCGAATTTTTTAGTATAATTCCAATATCCAGGTTCCGTTTGACTCATGATGAGTTTTTCTGGTGGGGAAGGGGGAGGGGATGAGATTTTTTTTCTTTGAAAGGGCGGATCACATATTTTAGTAATGAGAAAAGCTTAACGTTTCAATAACCTTAATAAATTGGTCTATGGAGAAAGCGGAAAATATTGTATTGGAAGAGAAAAAAAATATTTGTATTTATAGCAGAATTATTTTTATGATTTCAAAATGATGGGAATTCATTTTGATGAAGTGTACAATATTGGTTTTCTTTATTAATTGAGGAATTTTTGTATTATTCCTGAAAAAAATCCACTTATTTATAATTTTCACAGCATTAATTATTATTTTAATAGAATTTATACACACAAATATTATGTTTAAGAATTTTTCATTAATGAAATCTATTCTAAAGAACATTATATTTTGACAGATAAAAAATTCATTATGACTCTGTGATGATTGTGATGAAGCTAATTTTGTTCCCTTCTTCAAATTTTCTGCTTTGATGCAGACCCATAAAAACAATCTGAATAATATCACTGGATGTGCTGTTTTTATGGGTTTTTTAAATCTCTGACCATCAGGCAAAAATTAAAAGGTCGGAGCAAAACAGTAAACCGGCTGCAAACTAGTTAATGGTCATTTTCATCAGCTAAAACAACAATGGGCAACATTTGGGCTGGAAATAAAACAAACAGCCGCGCACCGCCACCGCCACTTTCGCTTCGCCGCAGCTAAAAACTAGCGAAAGCACTCTGCAAAATTAATGGTGGCGTAATACAATTTTATTGGATCCGACGCGGTTCGATGCACTTTTGCCGCGCGCACACGCGACGTAATTGCGATTAATGCAAATTTCATAGTCACACACATAGGACAAGCTCGAATTGCACCAACCGTTGTCGCCAATTAATTATACCAGAGGGTCCCCGCGGTGCATTGATTAAACGACAAACATGTACGCAGTGTGATTGTGAAATTTTATTCGTCATCTGCGACGCTTCCGTTCCTGAGCGGATTAAGAGCCACATGGATTATTTCCTGTTTTTACCTTTTGCTGCATGAGCTGTTTTATATTGATTGCATTCTGTCTGCAAAAAAAGATTGATTTATTTTCTGCACATCAAAAGTCAGATGAAAAGGAAATTTGTGTAAAATAAATATTTTTATTCAAAGGTTACATTCTTCATCAAACTGGCAATATTAGTCAATCATGGAGTACTTATAGTCAAATCAAGTCTTTTTACAACAATGTTTTTTTCCCCTTTAAATTTACAATCATTTCAAAAAATAAATTATATTTTTGTAAGAACTTGATTTGAACTATACCAATAGGGAGTCCTGAATTAAAAATTTTGTAATTATATAACAGTTTAAATTGGTTTCAATAACGAATTCATCTTCGCTCACGTTATCTTTTTTTTCTTTTGAATATTTCTATAAATTATTTTTCAAAACTTTTCATGATTGACAATTATTGCAGAGATTTTTGCGATTTTTTTATCTTTCGGATATTGTAATTTTAGTACAATGTATTTTTATTTTTATCAACAACACAATCATATTTTTTTTCAAATTCATTTTTTAAAATAATTGTGGTTAAATGAGCCTCCTTTCTTTTAATTACTTGTGCTCCTCAAGCTTTTTCAAATTGAACTAATTTTATTGAACTTTCAAAAAGCAATAATTGCTTTTTAGATGTAAATTTGATCAACTGGCACATTTGCTTATTATTCAAACGCCAAGTTTAGAGCTCATTTAACGAGGCTTAATCGCCGTCGGATACACGATTTTAATTCGCCGCGGTGCAATTTCGGCGCGCTTCCTCGTACGCACGTGTATAATGAGCGTTTGCATAAATCAAGCGACGATTATTGTCCCCGGCGAAATTATTTCCAACGGCGCGCGCGAGCGAGCGAGCGCCTGCCCGCCGATTTAATTTGCATTGTGCGTGCGCGCGTTTCGGGGGGCGTCCATAAATTAGGCGGCGGCAAAACGTTTATTGCCCCCCGTTTTACATCCACTTTGCCGCGAGCAAGCGAGAGAGAGGAAAAGATAAAGCGCCGGCGTTGCACTTTGCAAAAATGCTGATGAGCGCCGCTTTTTTCGTTTAAAATATCGTGCACTTTTTAGCCTTAATCGCCTTTTTCTCTCTCGTCACGGCAGCACCAGTTTTCGGCCCAAATTGAAAAGGTGCACCTCCATTATGGGATTAAGTATCCGCGCCTTTTTAGCACTCATCTCGTTCGGCCCGGCTCTAACGCCATTAGCATAACTTTCCATTATTGTAAACACAGCAGTGGGTGGAAAAAACGCTCACACACACACAAAACGCCCTCGAGGCTTATCTTCTGTTCCTCCTCTTCTTATTTCTGGCCCGAAACTTTGTTATCAATATTCGGAAAGTTTGCCCGACTCGCTTCTCCTTGTAATATTTTATTGGCGCAAGCAAGTTTTTCTCTTCCTCTCTGCTTATGGACCGCGCGCTCTGTTATTGGGGCGGAATTTATATATTTTTTCCCCGCCGGCCGCCCCGGGGAAATGTAGTGGGCAACTTTTCTGACGGGAATTCCATTAGAATCTGTGGAACACGCTATATTGGACTTGATTAATCGCTACTCCTCTCTTTCTCATCCTGGGCGAGATCCAATCAAAGTTTAATTCGCCCTTCAAAGGCGAAGGAAAAATGCGGACCGGCTTTTCTCTTCATTAGCCCGATTTAAGAAGCCCTCCCTGCCTGCTACTTGAGCCGCCTAATCTCGAATAGATAAAGAGATTTGCTCACAATGAGGGTGGCGAGACCGATTGCTCGGCGGATTGTGAAAAATTGCACACAGAACAAAGAGAGCAAATCCCTAGACGGGGCAGAACGATGGGCGCGTTTTTATTTTTCCTTTGTAATTTATGCTTTGATGCAGAAATGAAATTGTCGTTGACGAAGAGCTTAATGCTAATGAAATTTGATTTTGCATACTGAGCCGTTTTGAGGATTGATGTAGTTTTAAAAATAAAGTTAAAATTTTGGAACTCAAAACGTTTATCCAAAAGTGAACCGTAAAAATTTATTTACTGCCTACAATGTGTTCCGTAATTTTTTAATTTTGAAGTTTTTTAGTAATTATTAGCAGTTATTAAAATTTTGTATAATTAATATAGGCAGTAATTTTAAACTAAACATTTATCTGATTTATATAATATTGACAATAATTGTTTTTAATTTATTATTTTTTTATATTTTGCATTATATGAAACTTAAACTGTTAAATATAAGGCTTCAAATTTGAAAAAAATTTAAAATGTTTTAATAAATAATCAAGAAATTTTCCATTCACATTGTTTATACATATTAAATTAACAGCTTAAAATGAGTCACATGCAATGGCAGGCCTTGAGTGGTAGGCCGTGAGTAAAAATTAATTGTTTAAATCCTTAATAATTGGAATATAATATAAAAATTCGATGATGAATAAAAAAAATCCAATTCTAAGGTTGTCTAGAAAATTAATTTTCCACAATATTTTTTTCAAACATCCAAATTAAATAATTAAATTCCTTTTTGACACTTTACAGAGCCTCGAGGAGGACAATGTGAACGGCCTGTCCGCCTCTCATGCGGCGCTGACGTCGCCGACGCCTGGAAACGGCATCGCCGAGCACCGTGCCGACGACAACGGCGCCACCGAGCCGTCGCCCGAACTTCAGGCCGAGGGCGCCGAGGAGCACCACGTGCACGAGCCGGCGCCGGCCCAGGAGACGATCCGCGTGGAAATCTCGACGCCGGCTGACTTCAGCGACGTCTACTTCGAAATCGCCACCATCAGGTCGCCGTACACCTTCCAGGTGAGTGACGAGATAGAACGCGCTGGACCGTGTTACTTTCTGCGGGCGTTTTCGCTTCACCTGCCTAATCTGCCCTCTCGAGAGTGAACGCCACCGTTGCACACCAAGTTTCCCACTTTTTTGCACGCGAAAGTTTATAGGTCTTTGCGCAAAGTGAGAACAGACTTGGGCGGTTCGTGGGCTTTTGAGTTCGCAGAAGCAGAAATAACGGCCAAAAGCTCTTGAAAATCACTCAAGTAAATATAGGATCAAAATTTTATTACGAGATTTTTTTCCTTGAAGAAAGTTAAGATCTTGAGCAATAATTTCAAAATTAAAAAATTGAAAAAAAAGGAGAAAGCATACCGAATATGGTGGGTTTTTATATAATCCAGTATAAAAATAAGCAATTTAGATTTTTACAATGATTGCACATGCAAGTTGTTTGAATTAAAATGTACAAAATGATAGATTCGTAAATTTCTAGGATTCTATACGAAAAATACTCATTTTGAGATTGTTTAATATTTCAAGTTTCAAGGAAGAAATTTTAAAAACAATATTACTCTAGGAAAATGTGAAACATAAGACACTCTAAATTAAATTGAATTTTTTTTCTCTAAACATTATAATGAAAGAATCTACCAACACCAATCTATTTAATTTTGCTCCAATAAATTAAGACCAGGTAATTTTATAGTAGCTTGTATACAGTTTAAACAACTTAATCAAGGATTCTCTTGGGAAAAACTCGTTATACACTTTCAAGGAGATGGTTACAAAGATGTAAATATATATTGATTTTTAACCTTAAATTTGATTAGATCATTTTGAATAAATTTCTAAAAAAAAAATTAGAGCAAAAAAATCCAAAGGAAAGTAATCAAAGTATTTGTATAAAAATTTGAAAAAGTCCAAGTATCCCCACAATTCAGTGAATTTTTTTTTTACCGAACCAGTCAATTTAGTCTCATATTTTGCAAATCAAAATAGCACAATTCTAAAATTAAAAAAAAAATACCAAAAAGACTTTTTCACCAAACTAGTCACGCTTTATTTATGCCACTCGCTGTTCCATCTACAGAACTTTCGTTCTCCCCCTCTGGAATGGCAGTCGATTCTTTTTTCGAGGAGGATGCAGAGAATTTCTCCTTCTCTTCAAAAGTGCGCTTATTTTGTGGTTGATTTATGCGAGGGCGGCGGAATTCGCTGGCTTCGTGCATCAATAAATGTTATTAACTTGAAATTTGAGCGCGCTCTCGCTCTCGCTCTTTTGCTAAGAGAGTCGTATATTGCAGGGTGTGCCAAAAGTAGAAAAATGCTCCCCTCGCCGTGGCTGCGGCTGCTTTTTATTGGAAATTCAAGCACTTGCCGATAAACCAGCCGGCAGCTGCGGTCGGGGCCGATACACCGATGCTCGTTTTTCGCCCGCGGCAAAATTAATTGCCTCGTTGCAGCAGAGCGAATTTTTCTTCTGCTAAAACAATCTGTCAAAAAGCGGCGCCGAATTGATTCAGCTACGGCAACAACACAACTCTGATTAAAAAACCATCTCCGCCGGGCCATGTTGCGTATCATGCAAATCAACGGGTGACTTTTAATTCACTGTGTACACGCACCGGCGCTACTTGTTTGCGAATTCGATTCGCTTCCAATTACAATAAACCCGCAGCGGCAAATTATTCTGCGCATATATGCAAATTCAAAGAGTTCCAAGCGAAATTGGTGGTGCGAGCCAACGAACGAGCGGATTGATTTGTGTACAGCGACGCAACAAAATGAGCCCGCGCCTCTCTCTCTGTAAAACTGATTCGCAAACGAAATTACGCATACCTTTTGCTCGTTTCGTGTAATGATATGCAACATGAGGGCGCATTTTTCTCCCTTTGTAAAACACGTTTCACAATATACAGGCACATTGTGGGGTTTTCATTGATTAAAATCTGCAACATTCATCTGGTTCTTTATTATGATACACGCTATGTAAGCCGATTTTATTAATTTAGAGTTGGCTTTTTAATCCTCATTCGGGTTTTTGAGCCGTTGATTCAATTTTTTGTATATCCTGCTCTACATGAATGTATGCAGCTGTGAAAGAATGTTAACAAAAATATTTGAAAATATTAATAATAAGGGAAAAAAATTGTTAATCAATCATTAAAAAAAATTATTATTTAATGAAGCATGAACTATTTTTTTTTTTTAGTAAAATTGAAAGATAGACAAAATATTTGGTCCAACAGGAAAGTTCAATTTGAAGAAAAATTATATTTTGAAAAAAAAAACTTGAAAAACTCATTGTGGAATGGCCAAATTTAATTTTTGAGCCTGAATCGTGAAATTCTCCTACAAATAATAAGTTTCAGCCTCGACAAGCACGATTGAGTTGCATGCATAGTTGGTGTTATTGAAAATGGGAAAAATTGATGTTTGTTTGTGGAGGAACTTTTCACAGAATAGTAAACCAACTGAGCATAACTAATTTATTTAAAGACAGTTAAGACTAAGAGTTGTCATATTTTCATTAGCCTGACATAATTATGATCCTTCAATTTAGCCTTTTCTCAATTAACTGTACCAAAGTGTGCTCATAAACAACAGTAAAAGATATTTGATAATTATTTTTATCGAAAAACCAACTGTGCTACTTTATTTTTCAAAATTTGTTAGTGATTTTCTTGAAATATAAAAAAAAAAACTAGCTTCATTTGAATTATTAAATATTTTTATATTTTTATGTCTTTCTACCATTTGCATTCAAATAAAAGTGAATTAACTAATTCACTTAATTAAAACTACATAAAATATACTGAAAATTTTACACGCAATTATGCCATTGTAATTTGACTCTTTGTCAACTTTGCTAATTTAGACATTTTGATGTTGCTAAAACAGACCAGTGCAATTACGAGTCTCACTACTTTGTCTTGCACGCGCGCGAACATACAGGCGAAACAATTAAATTAATGAAACGCCGCGTGGACGAACGTCGTGTTCAAAGGTGCACGACACACCTTTCATGTGCATGCGTGTGCCCTTTTGAGAGCACGCGCGGCGATGCGCACATCAAATTTCTACGGCTGAAATCCAAAGCCGCCGACGCTCATTTTATTTCCACCCTTCCTTTCTTTATTTCCCTTCCATTCTCTTTCCCTCTCCGTCATTACCGAGACAGGAAAACACACACTAGAAAATTTGCGCTCACACGGTTCCAATTAAAATCTCTCGCCTTTGTTCCTCGACTGGAATTTCACTTAATGAGAGAGAGGGGAACATCTCATGCGTAGGTGGAATTCAAACACAAATAGTCCGTTTTCGCGCTGAAAAACAGCAGCTCGAGGGTCCTCAGCATCCCCCTACTGATTTTTGCTTTGATCGGTTTTCTTTATGTATATTTTTCTTTTTAATAAACCATATCAACCAAAGGAAACTTGCTTGATTGCTTTTTGGCCTACGTGATTAATTAATTAATTTTTAGAAAAATCCGCTTCTGCGAAGATCAAACTAATTAAAACTTTGCCCCTCACGGCAAAGGACCTTTCGTCTTCAGTACCCGAGGGGATGAAATTCTTCCGAAGCATCACACGCCGGAAATTGAAAGAAAATAAATCGAGCTCATTTAAAGGCGAAGCAATAAACTTTCTCGTTAAAACCTCCCTTCCGCCTAATTTGAGGGGAATTTTTCACCGGGGCTAACTATAATTAAAGGGCGATTTGCGAGAGTAAAGTGGCGGATTTTATGCGCTTTTTATTTCAATTAGGCTTCGTTTGCCTGCGCTGCGCGAGCGAATTTATTACACCCTCTGCTCTCCGACGGCCGACGTGTCGTGCGCTAGCACTTTGCTCTAACAGTTATTACTCTTGTGCTGTGTGCAGGTCGGCACCGTTAAGAACACCCGCTTCATCACGGTGACGTCCACGATCGAGAGAAGCCTCGTCACGCCGACCGAGAGTCCCGAAATTCTGCCCACCGAGCCGCTCACCGAGAACATCTTGGCCACGTCCACCCAGTCCTTCGAGGTAACCACGAAACTCATCAAAAGTAGAACTTCTCGAGAACCATTAATTATAGTTCTTGCCACTAACTTGAATAGAATTATTTAAAATTTCTTTAAAATCGAAATTACAAAATTTTGAAAAATTATATTTTTTTCAATTGTTTATCTATATTTTGAAAAATATCACATTTTTGCTGAAAGGATAGCTTTGATAAACATTTTATATTCTTAATTTTTATGCATTTATTACAATTTTTAAAAAAATTTCAAATTAAAAACGATTTTATTTATTTTTATTTTACTTTCAATCTAATTATTTCTCTTTTTGTAACAAATAGGCTGCGAATCAGTTGCCAGTGGACGCGAGCATCGCCACCCTGCCGCCGATCGTTCTGGCGACCAATGTTGAAACGCCCCCGCTCGAGACTGTCACCGAGACCTTCAACACCACGCAACTGATGCTCAAGACGCACGTCCTGCCTGTCATCCAACAGGGTGGCGTTGAGACGAAAATGTACACCCTCATCCAATCTTATCACATCACGCGTTTCGTGACCGCCGTGAAGACGCTGCCGCCGTCAGACGCCTTCCAGTTCCTTCCCAGTCGCGCCCTAAATGAATTCAACACTCGTCTGGATGAGGCTGGATCCGAGCTGCACGAACTCGAAGTCTCCGAGAATGACCAAGACGGTAAGAATAGAAATATAGCTGTGTTGCAATTAGGATGGAATCCTTTGATTTTAATTACTTTTTTAATACAGTTTTATAATAATATGAGAAAATTGTTTCAATTTTCAACATTTTTTCGCCCCTTAAAAAGCAGTCAAACGAGCAAATGACGCTCCTGGATGAACTAGATATTAAAAGTGTCAAAAATAAACTTTTTTTCTACATCATTTTGTTTAAAAAACATATTTATATTATAAGCCCAGATTTTTTTAACTGTTTAATTATAACGATCATGATTATTGGAAAATCATTCAAATAGTGTCAAAATTATCTAAATATTTGACTTTTAACTTGAAATCTAAAATTATTTTTAAAGGTAAAACACAATTAAATTTAATAAAATTTAGAGCTAATTATGAGGATTTTCTTTGACTTTTCTGTTTTAGGCGAAGATGAGCAGCGCCGACTGATCCTCCCCCCTGACCTTGACCTGGCCCAAATTGGCGGTGACTTTGACCTCGACCGCCTGCCCCAGCGTGCTCTCACCCCTGCCCTCCCTTCAGCGTCCACCACCCCCGAGCCTCCAACCACCCCTGCCTCCCCTCAATTGACCCCCGAACAACTGCAGCAATACGCCCTGTTGCGCTACCTGAACCCCCTGGCGCCGGTGCCCGCAATCACCACCTCCAAGCCCATCGTCAAGAAGGAGACCATCTACGAGAGCCACGTCATCCCCCTCTTCAACGGCCTCAGCACCGTCTACACCACCATCTCGCGGCCGGTCAGCACCGTGGCCAGAACTGAGTACGAGGTCACCACGATCGCGCCCACCGGCCTCATCCAACCCCAGTTCACCATCAGCAGCCAACCGGTGGTGACCCAGACCATGGTCACGCAGACCAACTCCAAGGTCATCAAGCTGCAGTTCGGCGCCAAGACAGTCTTCACGACCCTGTACCAGTCGACCGTGGTGCCCACGGTGCTCACCACCTACATCACAACGCAGGTGCCAGTCCAGCCCACGGCGGCGCCTTTCCCCGGCTTCTTCCCTGGAGGCTTCCCCGGATTCCCCTTCGTCGGGTGAATTTGATTTTGAAATATAACACCCATTATTTATGAAGAGCGTATATTGTTGTACTCCCGAGCGCCCCCACCTTCTTTGTATAGCAGAGGAAGTAAAACAATAGAAAGATTGATTACACACTGCAAATTTTAGGTTTAAAAAGTTATTCCCAAATTTTCATTCTAGAAACCTGTAAATAAAACACAAACAACTAAATTTAGTTGAAATATTGTGGGAGTAACGAAAACTTGAATTGAATTTCAGAAAATTTTTATGTTACTTTTTTTAGTTTTTAAACACTTGATGTATGAAAAATTGATTTATTTTTGACCATTATTCTTACGAGGTAAACACAAATTATGTGGATTTTGTGTCTTTAAAACATAAAATGTTGTAGCTAGAATTAATTTCCCTCTGCTCAAACTTTTTTAAAACTCGCATATTTTTCTCCCTGTGCATTTCCTCAAACAGAATTTTTAGGCCGGGTGTGGAATTGTTAAAATTTTCAATTTCCTTTGCCTTTTTTCTCGTCTTTTGTGTTTTCTGCGAACATTGTGTGCCTCTCGGAAGTGAGAAAAAATTTAATTCCGCTACGCAAACGAGAGAAGAGGAAAGTCGGCTGCGAATTATGCGATGATGAAGGCCGTATCAAGAGATTTGCGACAGAAATTACGGCAGCTCTCTCTCTCGGCTGGCGAAAACACACAAATGGAGCGGAAAGAAAAGTGACTCCCTAAGGATCCGCGCCCTACTTCCCACTCTGCTGTCTGTCTGTTGTGAAAAGGTGCATGCATTTATAACTAGGGTGAAAGGAAAAGATGATGAAAGAGAACGAAAGCTGAAGAAAAAACTGTACAAATGAAGAAAGAAAAAAGAAAGAGAGAATCTCTTGTCAGAAAAAAGACTCGCACGCGGAAAATGGAAAAAGTGATCGTTTATTTTTTTATGCTTGGCATATTCTTTGCGTTGGAAAAAAGGATGTATTTTTTTTTAATATAAGTTGTGTGATAAGGAGCTGTTTCTTTTCTGTAATATTTTTTGTATGAAAAACCGAGACGTGCGAAATAAAACTGCGATTAATAATCTTACGAGTCGAGTGTTTATATTTCATCCCTCGGCATGAAAAAACAAGCTGCTGCTGCAAGCAGATATTATTTTCGCGTTTCGCTCTCGCGGCGCCGCCCGCTTTTTTTCGCTTCCGTTATTGCGGAGAGGAGGAAATGTGTTTTCTTTAATGGTTTCTAAACTCGGCGCTCTTGCTAGACCCTCTCGTGAACTTGCAAAAGGAAAACTACCGCCATCAAGGCCAACATGAGAGAAAGCAGTGAGAGAGAAGAAAATGTAATGGTGCGTAATTTATGGAGTTCGTTTCTAATAAACTCACAGAAAGAGCGAGCGAGCCTTAAAAACACGGCCCATTACGACGAGTCTGCTCTGCCGGTTCGCTCGGCACGTTGGGAAAATCTGCTGGATTGCGTGATGAGCGACCTTTTGCTTTAATACGCTCCTAAATTTTTCTTTCACCGAAATTTTTTGGCACTTTGCTGCAGAAAAAGTAAAAAATGGGAGCAGCAGAAACTGGCTTTTGACCTCAAAAACGAAATAATAATAGCGGCGTGGAAAGAGGGCCACTAAATTTACAAGCCTGCAATAGCTTTAGGTTCAACAATGTTTAAAAAAAGTAAAACTTTTCCCATGAGAGTCGCTTATTATAATCTTGATAATAATTCTTTCATTCTTTATTCAATTTGCAAGTGAGAAAATGAAAAAGAAGCCTTTTAATTATTTAAACAAATTTTTATACAGAATATTTCATCCAAATAGAAAAGAATGGAATAACAATTAAATATTTTTTCATAATAAACAACAAATTTATATTTTTTGCTTTAATAAAAAAAAAATTAATTTGAATAGTCCCTTTGCGATGATTTAATTTTTTTATTTATCACTTTATTATTTCATTTTATTATTTGTTTTCATCTGTCAACACCAAAATTTAAAAATTAAATAATCATCTTAAGATTAATTTGAATTATTATATAAATATTAAATATTTAATTAATTTTAAAACAAAAAAATTGCTTGTAAAAACTTTTGCAAGATCAACTTAGTTGCATTTTAAGTTTTACCCTTCAAAAGAATCTCTGAACTTTAATTAAGTCGGCCGCCCCTGTACTTGGAAATATATTCCACTTTTTCAAATTGACACCCTCAGCTAGGCCGAACGAGAAGCTCGCCCATTAATCAAAATGACAAGTGCATTAAAAAAAGGTATAGTCTCGCTCGGTTGACAAGTTAACACTGACACGTTTATGGAGCGGCGGCCGCTGCTTCTCTTTCCAGTTGGCACAGAGCACCAAAGGACAATCTTCATGATAATGCTAGAGAGGCACCATATTCTTATCTATATTTATAAGCGAGATAAGCCGCTTATATACGAGCGCGGCGCCCCTCTTTCTCTCTCCGCGGCCGTCGCCGCGCCGCTGGATAATGCAATCACCGACAAAATATCAGCTCTCTATATTGGACGTGCGAGGCGCGCATACCTTGCAGCAAATCGTAAAATACAATACACACACACACACACGTATGAAAGAAAGAAACTGGTATTGATCCGCCGCCGGCGTGTGTGTATCTCTATAGAAATGAAATATTTTTTATGAGCGTCCCTTTTCGGTGCGACGACGAGAAGAACAAAGGATAAAAATTTGATCGAAAGGAAGCTGCAGAAATAAATCACCGCTTTCCGAGAGGAAAACACGCCAATTTTTCACCGATTGTCCCGGGGTGTTTTTGCCCTACGTTCGGCATAACATATTGCCGGCAGCGAAAAATCGCAATTTCAATTGATGTGCAAGTATTGTTCTTATCTCGGAGGGTATTTGTTATATTTCCAGACGCCGACGGCGAACCGAAAATAAATCATATTGTGCTGAAATAAAAGTATAAGTGAGGCTTTAGTGAAAACGCTCAGGTACTGCGCAAGCTACAATTAAATTAACAAACAGGGTCATTCAAATTATCAGCCTTTTTTCATGTCAAATTATTTTGTAAAGTTTGACCGACAGCACGTTTGGCGCATCATTATTGTCAAATGAGTAAAAACGGTTAGCAGAGGCTGTCAATTATAATGCTTGTTTTTTATGTCGATGCCAATTAAAAAAGGATCAATGATCCGTCTTTTTACAATACAAAGCCGAGAAAAATACTGAGAGGGACCGAGAACTATCAAATTTCAGTTACCTTTATGGTCTTTTGCAATAATATTTATATGCAGGAAAAAAGCTTTGAGAAGAAAAACCCGCTCAATAATTATTTTAATAGAAAAAGCAAGTATTAATAGTTTTGAAAAATGTAGATCAATTTTTCAGTTGTTTTAAGTATATATTTTTTTTTATTTAGTTAAATAAATAAAGTACAAAGTTGCAAACATTCAGTTAATAAATATGTCAATAACTACATTATGTATTAATATTTATTTAAAAGGTTTACCGCATGATTTTATTACCCCATTATTTATCAGAAAATACTCAACGCACAACATAAATTAATTGTAAGATAAATTATAGGTTATGTCACTACATCCAATTATCAGTTACAAAAAGCGAACTCTCTGGTGAAAAATATGAAGGCTCCAAGGATTTTCCGAAGGCTTTCCAAAGTCAAAATCGAGAATCTTGAGTGCTGGTGCATGGGTGCACACCACTTGGATAAAAAGGCTCCACTGGTTAGCCAATGTTTCAGTATCAACTCCGTGTTCATCCATCCACTGCTGTTGAAAGCACGCTGAGCCCCGAAGTTCAACAAGGCTCGGGGAAACGTCCTTTGGCTCTCGGTCTTCCACTGCTTTCTCCAGGGTTGACGACAACATCTTTATTTTCCAAAGATGCAAACACTCTAGCTTTGGAAGAGAAAGCAGTTGAAACAAAAGCTGAATGCGCCAGCTGAGAAAAAATAATTCTCCCGTTGAATTTTACATAATTTTAAAACATAAAAAAAAAAAAAATGAAATTTATTTTATTGTATATTTTACAATGAAGCTAAATTAAACATACCTATAATCCCAATTTGTGATAGTAATTTTTGTCAACGTAGGCAAGAAGCTGGAGTGCAAACAGTTGTTGACCAAATCGAGCGTGAAATTGAAGCAGAAACCAAAACTTTGCAAGTTGGGGCAGAGTGTGTGAATCTCGTCCATGGAGATGCCAGGATGTGTGCCTGAGCAAAGCATCTTCAGGGTAAAGCTTTTCAGGCGAGTGCCGTAGGTTCGCAACATTTGGAGCAGCGGTTTCTTGTCGTGAATATTTTGTTCGTACCAAATCAAACTCTGTAGGTTTGGGAATTCAAGGAGTGTACTGACACTTCTGTTTAGATCATCTGTCAGAAAAACCTTAAAAAATAAACTTCATATTATTTTAAACAAAAGAAAAAATTTTCAAATTACTCTGAGAGCAGTGACGTTGGGCAATCTTTGGGCTTGATAGGGAGTCAAAGGTTTATCAACGGCCAAGTGCTGCAGTTTGCGGGGTTCTCCATTTTTGAGATCATTTTTATCTAATTTGTGAAAAGTCAAAGCCCCGACTCCCTCTTGATGATAAGTATCTCGGTCAGTCCTAGTGCCAATCACCTTCAGGTTCGGAAAGTTTTTCAGAGAAATGCCCATGTGGCCCGAGGGATTCACCCAGTAATATTTCTCATCGTCCGCAACGTATCCTAGGAGATTGAAAATAAAAACTTCAAGATTTTTCGCTGGTTCAATGGCTTCAGCAAGTTTTGCTGGTTCCAAATTGTGAATTTCGCAGCTGAGGTGTTGTAGTTCCTCAAGAGTCGTGCACAAGAGTCTCAGGTTCGCCTCTGAAAGGATGTTTCTATGCAGCTGCAAGTGCTGCAGATTCTTCAAGTGTGTGATGGTGGCCATGCGCTCAATCGACATTTCCCTAATCAAATTGCAACCAGGCTTGGAGTGGGTAAGTCTCCGAAGGTTGGGCCTAGGCTCAGAAACTAAAAAATTGTAAATCTTATAAAGAAAAAAATTAAAACATTTATTATTATTAATTTTCATTTTTCAATTATACCAAATCATGCAGCTTTTTATCTTGGCTAGGCATCGCATGGCCTCGCCATTCAATATTAAATTCATTGACATCGGGACTAAAAAGACAACCGATGAGGTGCACAATGCGTTCTCGTGAAATTAGATCAAAAACGTTGACTCCGTAATTGGCAACCTCAAGCTTTTTGAGCATCATTTTTTTCACAGTTAGGGCTGCAATATAATATTATCGTGTGTCATGTTAACAATTCTAAAAGTAAATAAACATCTAACTGCACTTACGAAGCTTTTCAAGCACACCCTTCTCGACCTTAAACAACTCAGGCTCACTTCCATCGTCTCCACATGACTTGGGCCTCAAGTTTTCAATAAGCACGTTAAGGCACAGATTTTGCAGGGACGAGTTAAGGAGCAGTTTTGAGGTGTGACGGTGAAGTGTCCTTGAGCAGTAGCACACAAGGTAACTGCATTAATTCAAATTAATGCTACGATATACAGAAGTTAGATTTGAAACCTGATTTCAGGTAACAAGACCCGAATTCACGTCTCAAATATGTATAAATAAATAGTAGCATACTCATCATAGGCATCACTTGGAAAGTCTTCAGGGTCAGAATCCCAGTTGTTATAATCCTCATCATCTTCAGTTTCATCTTCACCTGCAGTTTCGTCGCTGGAACTGGCTTCGACCGAATTATCTGACTTATCATCATCACCACACATGTTATTCCTTTTTTTAGAATTGCCAATTTGGTCAGCATTAAAAATTCCGATGAAAAGGTAGCCGCTGAAAAATGCATGCATATGTATTAGAATAATAAAATTTGTGTTTATGTTGAATCAGGGGACGATACATATGTATGTACGTTTTTATAAATCAGGCCAAGATGTTTTTCAGACCTTATTTTTCTGGTGCAGAAGGTACCACCCATTTTTTAATTAATAATTATTATTTTGTGTTAATAATTTAATTATTTTTGGTGGCATAATTATCATCATAGATTGGCGGTCAAAAATAATAATAAAGAGACCCTGCGCGTAAACACAGAGAGGACTGAACTAATAATCCAAATATATAAATATAAAATTCAAACTGACCTGTTTTGTATGCAGACTCTTGATTCAAGATTTATCTTCGAATGAAATCTGAAAGCAGATTGAAATAAGTCTATGACTGAATTGACAGAAACCTCGTGGATGTCGTGCTGGTGGAATCGTAAATTAAACTGATGCTCTCAAACTGATTGTGCTTTGATTGTCACAGTCGACAAGCGTTATTATATAGAGTCACCAAAATCAAACAAATCCAGAGACCGCCAGCAAGAAACTGCTGGAAACCACCTTTGAAATCCCAAAAATAGTCTGGACATCTCGAAAGTTTTTGACCTTTCCCTTGTTTATGAATATGATGTATCCAAAATAAATGTATTATAATTATCTCGCACCACACCAAGTGGCCGTGGTTGTTTATCACTTACTGTCACGTACGCCAATAAATAAATAGTATCGCTTTTCACTCAGGAACTATACGCACGACAGTAAAATTCATGGCTATTATCAAAACATAGTATAGGACATGTCAATATAGATTTTTCAATGAACAAAGGAGTTTATTTGTCATCACATCCAAGTGTAAATAGTATAATATGTAATGCATGCAAGTTTATAATGCACTTAATCGCTTTAAGTGCCTTAGGATAAAAATTGGAAATAATTCATACTTATTTTTTCCAATCAGTTTATTCAATAGTTGACTTGTAATATTTAAATTACATAAGTAAGAGCAAAACAAAGCATGTATACAATAAACAATAATACATAATTTCATTTGATAATTTAGCAAATAAGTAGCGCGTTACAAAAGAGAAGATAAAAAGACCAAATAATAAAATTTATATAAAATATTTTAGAATGTATCTATTTCACAAGGATGGACAAAATCGCAATCTTTCACGATTTTTTGAAAAGATGATCGCAATCGCAAAAGGTGGTCGATCGCAGTCGATCATTTGCGATCGCTGAAAGCAATTTTAATGCTTAATCTGGAAGAATTTAGTGCAAAATCTGGAAGAAAAACTGTCAATTTCAGGTAATTTGATAGAAAAATTTCTTTAACAAAGACTTTTCATTTACGAAGTTCATTTTTTTTCCGCCTGCTTGTTCTGAAAACAGAATTTAATTAAAAACCATTCAGAAATTTGTTTTTTCAAAAATATATTTGGTCGCAAATAATGGCAACGTAGACCATAAATATTCTCCTTCCCGAAATACAATTTTTTTATTTTATTATCTCGTATCTCATCCCAAATCCTGCACCAGCTGAGATAAGGAGAGCGAGAAAGAGAATGAGCCGAGTCGTGACGTGTATTTTTTTTTTTTTATCAGCAGCGCAGATTAGATGAGAGCGGGCACACCTCATCTCGGTCGCTCAGCAGTCGTAGAACAGAGTGTGCGGCCTCAATAGTCGTGGATAATATTCGTCAGTGCCGTTTTGCGTGTTAATCAGGACAAAGCAAGGATATGGCGGGCAAAGGCAAGGGCCGCGGCACCGGCTTCGAGAAGGTCATCAGCGGCACCAAGTACACCCTTTTCTGCTTCACCATCATCTCCTTTGTGAGTAAATAATTCCGTTATGTGAAAATTTTAGTAAAATTTAATTTGCTAATAATTATTTTAGCTTAAATAGAAATTATTTTGCAAGAAATTTATTATTAGAAATTGATATAAAAAGAAGTGACTATCCCGGTTGTCGTTTCGTTATTAGAGATGATTTTATCTCTGTTTGCGGCAGAGGTAGGTGACTTATCGCGCGTCATGTGGACTCGTGGTGCAATCTGATGTGTTTACCTAGCCGGTTACTCACGCTTACTTCTTCCTTAAGCGCGCCTCATCATCGCGCGGACACGCAACCGTCCGAGCAATTTCATGAAACGGCAGGAAAATTAATCATCGAGCTGAGTAAATAGAACACTAATTCTCAAGTTTAAAGTCTTCCTAACAGTGAATTTATGAGATTAAAAAGATTGTTTAAAAGGATTAAAATAAAACTGCCAAGGGTTTGAATACATTGCAATCGATTTTAGTGTCAGCGGCTGTGACCCTAGGAAATATTAGTTTTATTCATATAAGATTTTTTTTAATTTTATGTTTGCTTGATTTATATCACATAATTATATTGCAGGTTAATAACCGTTTTTCTCACCATTTTTTTGTGATTTTTTTTTACAAAGTTAATTATTAATCACAAAATCAACTATTCATTGAAAAAGAAAATTAATTTTTTAATGCAGTAATTCACTAAAGAAATTTGATTTTTCTTTATAAAATAATGTCATGCGGCAAAATGCGTGAATCGTTCAATTTTATCACAGATCTCAATACTTTTGGCGTTTCCATACAACTTTTAATCAAGAAAGGAACAGTCTTGACTATGGAACTGTTCTGTGGTTTTAAGCGCATAAATATATTTTAAATATATCTACTAAATATAATGCGTGTTTCTGCTTGTTTCAATTTCATGATTTCATTTTTTCTCTTCTAATGCATGCACTTTTACAATGTAAAAAAACAGACAAAAAAAATGCAAAAAAAAATTGATAATTTGTTTGAAGAAATTGACACTCGAGGAGATGATCATGGAAATGAAGAGATTGGGCTTTTCCTCGTTGCAGAAAAAATTAATAATATTAATAATAAAAGAACAGTTTCGTAATAATAAAGGGGAGATTATGTTATAAACTGCTAGAAAATAATTAAAACAACTTGAGTAACAATATGATAATTAGATAGAAAATTTTCCTTCCCCTGACGTAAATTAACTTGTCAATTTGGCCAACCTTTCTGAAGATCCACTCTTGCCCCCCATTTTAATAAACAAATTAATTTATTTTGAGCCGCGTATCTGCGTGAAACAGACGCTGCAAAAGTGGCGAAACCTCAGGAGTTTTTCCTCGACGTCAGCGGGAAATTGACTTCTCTCGGCTCCAATCAGATCGAATTAAAAATTTCCCTCCGGCTGGCAACAATCTTTCCTCCGACGGAAAACGACCGCAGCCAGTGGCCCTGCTTTCCCTCCGGAGAGAGAACAGAAATAATCAAATTAAAACACGCCGCGCGCTCGCTTCTTATTAATAATCAAATTAGCGCGATGAAAAGAAGGGCGGCGTGTGCGTGCATTAGGCAAAAAGTGGAAGAACGGGAGGAGGTCGTAATTTGATTTCGGCAACGCCACTCCTTCTTCTTCTTCTCTCCTTTCTTGCTCTCTCCATCGATGTATGGGTGCAACTGTAACCGAGACGCACCCTTTGATACCGCCAAATGTATTAAATGAACCCTAAAAAAGAGAGCCAGATGAAGCATGACTACTGCGCGCCCCGACCAAAAACCACGCCCTATGAATAAAGAAGCCTCGGAAACAATATCCGACGACGACGACTACTCTTTCTTTCCTCCTTGTGCGTGTGTAAAAAGCAGAGAGTGAATTCACAGATGCTTCCCTTCTTCCGCTAGTGCCCTTTTTTGCGAGCCAATTTCCAAAGTTTGCGTTCGTCATCGCACTCAACTGCTGCTGCGACGCGCGACGACAACGCAGTCGGCTCTTTCCCAGAATCGAGAGACAACCAACTTTTGACGCTGAAGTGCTTTTTTGCTTTTGACTCTTCCCATATATGCGCTTCACAATTTTAGACGGTGACAAGCTGGCAGATTTCCATGAGACAAAAAGTTGAAATATTCATTAAAATTTAAATAAATTAATCCACATCGGAGCTCATGAAATTAAAGAATATTTCAAACTAAATTATTTTATTAAAACTTTTTTAAATCTCTCAATTCTTATTTATGTTTTTTAAGTTTTTTTTAAATGATAAATTTATTATTTAAATATAATTTAATTTATTAATTATACTATTTAACTTAATTAATATACTGTTTTTTTTCTTTTACTGATTTTAACAAATTGGAGCGCTCTTTAAATAAATTTGATATTTTTTTAAATAAATATTTTAACTAGTCTGATGCAGTTTAATAGCATCATAATTCTGATGAAGAAAATTTACTTCCTTTGGATTTGATTAAAGCTGTGAAAAATTAAGCGCTCACCTGAAACTATTTCGAAAATTTTTTATTTGTTACAAAATCTGTTTGGAAAGATAGAAGAAATTCTTCTGAAGAATACACTTAAAATTCCTAATTACGTCCAATTCTTACTATAGTTTTATATAAAACTCAATTTGGCTTTTTGCATTTTCACTTACAAATCTTCTTCTGAATTTTTTCAATCGTTAAAAAAAGTAGATTTCAAGGAAATTTTTTTTTTGAAAATTGACTTGGTCTAAAAATTAGTGATTATATTTCTTTTCGAGCAAAAATTATTAAGGGCTTAGTGAACTATTTTTCTCATTTTTTTCCTATTTTATTTTAGTTTTTTTTTCGTACTTATTACTGTAGAATTAACAGCAATGCAATAGGCATTAACAAATGGAAGTATTTTTTTTATATTTAAAAACTTTAAAGCGTCTTTTTAGACTCCCTGTGGCTTCTTGATTGCCCCCTGCCACGCGTTTCCCATGCAGAACTTAAATTATTACTTCTTCCCCTTTTTTTCTTGTGATATTTTTTCAACTTTGGCGGCGGCGAGATGTTTTCTTCTCATTTTGCAACAAGGAACGAACCTTGGCGTCGCCGCCGCCGCTTTTGAAAACTTCTTTTGCCTGCCGCTCTTCTTTTGCCTCTGCCTCATAACGTCTAATAGATAAAGTTTCGGAGGCTCTTCTCCGCGGCAAAGGGTGAGTCTCGTGTAGCAAATCAAGTACAAGAAGAACTTTCTGTGCGGCAAAGTCAAATTCTATCAGCTCCTCTCTTTTGTAGCAACGAAAATCGCGTATGCAGATCAAAAAGCACTATTTCGCCAATTCTTCGCCGCGCCCTTTACTTACCGCTCGTTCTCTTTCTCCTTTTCCTCTGCGCGCTTCTCATCCGGTACCTTTTTGACGAATTTTCCACCCAACTAGCTCGACTCGCATTCACGAGAAGGGAATAATTTGAAATCTAGCCAATTTTGTCGAAATGCATTTACGTGGGGGCACAAAAGGAGCTCTTTATCCTTTGACGGAATACCCGATAAGGGTTTTTTCTTAGCAAGAAGAGTATTTTTTATTCAATTAATCTAAAATTTTGTTTACAATTATTGTAAATCTTCTCTATATTCATTTCAATTTAATCGTGAAGGAATTATCTAGATATTAATTTTCATAATTGAAGCAAATTGTGGTCGAAAAATAAATTAAAATCGAAGTCAATTTTTTACAAATTATTTGCCACATTTCAAGAAAACAATCCAAGATTATTTTGATTTCTCCGTTGATGCACTAGTAAATGGGATTAGAGCGTCAAATATGTGTTGAATTTATAATAAAAATTGAGTAAAATAAAAAATAAATAAATCCATTCACAACTACTTAATGGACTATAATGCAGAAAATATAATATAAAATATTTTAAAATAAACATTAAATTAAAATTGTGCTTTTAAAACTGAAGTTTAACTTTAATTGTTTTGTTTTTATGATGGTTTTTTTATATTTTATACATTATTTAAAAAAAAAAAAATTTAATTTCTATCGTATTTTATAATTTTCAATCGTACGTTGATTCAACTTATTATTTAGGGGGGTAATTTATCCCAAACAAGAATTCTAGCAGGAATGGTGAAGAATTTATAATACTTGCAGATTAAAATTTGACCAACATCTTTATTTTGGCAGGTCAATTATTTCAAAGTTGAACTTTTGCAGCACTATTCAGTATGCTTTTAATGCCATTTCTAGATGTTTTCAAGGATTGCAATTAAATACTGAGATGTGAATCATTTTGAAAAAAATTGAGAATTTTAAGGAATATTATTTTTTATAAAGTGCGGATTTTTTTTATAAATTAGAGAAGGCTATGAATGTCTGTAATTAGGCCAAGTTCGCGTCTCCGGTATAATATTATTTTCATTTATTTATGAATTATTTATAGAAAGTTTGTAACTTTTTCATTAATTTTTATCCTGTATATCAGATGAGACAAGAGAGGAGTGACAACATTATGTTTGCCACGCCAAATAAGGCAGTGACGATAATTCGTCATCACCTGTGTGTGTTTCTCTCTCACTCATTCAGACAGCCATCTTGCTTAGCTAAACGCACTTGTCGCGAGATAAGAAAAGCTCTCGTCGTGACACAATTAGGCAACGCGAGCAGAGACGCGCCATTCAAAAGCAGCGTTTCCTCCAAGGAATTGGCGCGCGAACTGTTTATTTGTTTTCTTCGCCTGAGCCAAGTGCCGAAATTTGATAAAACGGCGCCGTCGTCATCGTGCTCGAGTTAATTTCGAGCCGCGGCTTTTTGCGCTCAGGTGCGTGCGTGCCAAGCGGAAAAGCTCCAGACGGAAAACACTGGCTGAGAGAGAGAGAACCTTGTGCGTTATAGAGCTGTTTGTTTTTCTGATGAGTATCTGCGCCGTCGACGGAACTAGTTCGATGTTTGCGGCTCCTCTTTGTGGCGCCGTTGAGAGAATTTGATCTTCTCAAACTAAAAGGGGATTTTATATATAGATGGTGTGAGGAAACC